AGAAGAATTTATTTAGGATCACTTGCCAAAGGATAGGTTAGCTTTACATAATGAGAGTGAAGTCATAGTAGCAGGAGCAGGAAGCTAAGAAATTCTACCTTTCATCTTCACACAGGAGAAAAAGAGCAAGAACTGTGAGTGGGATACCCTACCTACCCCTATGAAGTACAAGTGAGGGTCCACCAACTAAAGGTTCCATACTCTCCCCAGAGTGCTGCTAGCAGGGGACCAGGGATTGAATTATGTGAGCCTATGGGAACATTTCTTATTCAAACTGCTACAGTCTCCAAGCCATTTCAATGCACAGGCATGGGCAGAGTTTAGAGTAACTGACAAATTAACCTTTCCCATGCTCCTGTGAAGCTTGCTTTGTTTGGTACATTGGGGTGTTTTGTTTCCTTCGCTGATTGACAATAAGAGTGTTGGGTTCTTACTGAACTCCTAGGCAAGGTTACATAGGCTTTTTGACATGTGTCCTTTGCTTCTTTCCTTGCATGGGTACAGAAATTCTAGGCATTTTTATGACTTGTTTTCTGATCCATAAAGTTTTTATTAGGTCCAGTGAAATTCTATAAAAGTTTAGAATTACACAATTTTTTCACTTTATTGAAGTTTCTTTTTTATAATGTTGAGCAACAGGCACTGATGGTTAACATTATTGACTAAAAAAAGTCACTCTTTATGTAAGATTTGTGTGTTACAGGTGTGTACACATGGAGGTCAGAAAGCAATCTGGGGTATTGAAGAGACTGTTTGGAGAGGACCGTCCTGTGTCTCTTCTGGGGTCTAGTTCAGTTCTAGGTCCTCAACTTGGAACATCATGGCTGTGCCTCAGCAGCTTGTATCCTCTGGGCCCTGCCCTCTGCGCCACAGTTCACATATATGTGAGGGGGGTTGGGGGGTGGGGAGAAGGAAGAAGAGTGAGGGGAAGGGAGGAGAGAAAGATGGGTGTGGGAGAATGTATTTAGGTGCCATAGGGTGCATGTTGGGTTCAAGATAATTTTGTAGAGTTGATTGTCTACTTCTACCATCACATGACTATGAAAGGCCAACTCTTAACCAGGCGATTATCTAGTTCTGGTGAAAGAAGGCACAATAAATTTGTGTTTTAGACAAACCAGAAACAGTTGAAATTGTAGGCCATGTTTAACCCCGTATAATCCATTCTTCACATAGCTAAAATGTTATGGATCAGTTGAATGATGTCATCCCCCAGCTTAAAACTCTTAATAGCTTCTTGTTGGACTGAAAATAAAATCCAGCTGGGCAGTGTTGGTATGCACCTTTAATCCCTGCACTCAGGAGGCAGGGGAAACAGAGGCAAACGGATCTCTGAGTTTTAGGCCAGCCTGGTCTATCTACAGAGCCTGGACAGCCAGGGCAACACAGAAACCCTACCTAGAAAACTGAAAATCCAAAACTGGGATGAAATGGCTTTCTGCCTCCTTTCATAGGACTCTGCATCTAGCCTCTTTGTACCTTGTAAAATACCCTTCACATTGTCATTTCTCCTGTCTAGCTTGCTTTTTACATTCTTATCCTCTGAACTAAACCACACTCATTTATTTTTACTTTAAAAAAGATTATATATATTAGATCTCATAGGTGATTGTGAGCCACCATGTGGTTGCTAGAAATTGAACTCTGCCTCTGGAAGAGTAGCCAGTCTCTTAACCGCTGAGCCATCTCTCCAACCTGGCTAATTCTTTGTGTTTATATCTCTTCCTTATCAGAGTAAGCCCACAAAAGTATGACACTTGTTTTGTAAATGAAAAGAGAAACCTTAAGAAATCTGAACATTTCTGATGAGGATGGAAGTCTCATAGAGTGTGAAGCCAGGCATGGTGACACATGTAAGCCAAAGGCAGTTCTAGGCCAGCCAACACTATACAAGGAGACCCAGTCTCAAAGGATTGGGAGGTGGCAAGAAGAAACAGGGCAAATCTCTTGAATTCAGTTTTCCCATGAGCCTAGTCTCTTAGCCAGTTCCTCAGGATTGTGAGTATGCATCACATTCATCTGAAAGACTTTCTGGGCCTTAAGCCTACGATTTCTAGGTCTGAATTTCCTTAAGTTCACAAATGATGCTAATAATAGTCAGACTTAGACTTAGAACTTCTTGCCTGAGTGATAGACACTGAGCCAGGCCAAATTTAGTCCTTCCCTGCATTTTGCATACTGGAATTAGATGAAATCCTTTGTGCCACTAGTCAAGCTGTTAAGTATAGGAGCCCTGAAGAGCCATGTACCATGTCATGTAAAAAAGCCACTTGAAAAGAATGTTTAATACAGGAGCAAAACCAAACATTGTAGCCTTAGTTAGTGGCAGCACTAGAGGTGGCCTAATTAAATCACACCAAAGGTCAGGCCCTGCCTTCTCTTAGGGAACTGTGCTGTGTGTGATTTATTTACATAATTTTAGCCCTTGGTAACATAATGACACACTTAGGCATGTGGAAGGCAGAGTATAACTTTGGGAATCAGTTCTCTTCCACTTGTGGATGCCAGTTATCAAACTCAGGTGATCAGGCCTGCATGTCAAACTGAACCATCTTATTGACCCCCACCCAGGACTTTTTTTTTTTTTTTTTTCTTTTTGGATTCTGACCCATGGATCACTTGAACTGGTAGGCATGATGTGTTTGCTTAAGCAAGCACTTGTAGTGTTTTAACAACTGAAATAGGTGCTATCCAGTGGCAGGTAATAGTTATTTTAAAACACTGCTTGAGCCTGAGCCTAGTGTTGCAGAGCAGTCAATCTCTAAGATCTCTGAGAAAAACTAAAAAGGACTGGTTAGTTTTTTGAATCAGTCTTATTCTATAGCCCAGGATGGCCTCCTGAGCTATCCTATGTTAGCCTCCCCAAGTGCTGGAATTACAGGCATGAGGCCACCACATTCAACTAAAAAACATGGTTATAATTGGGACCTGAAGAGCTCAGCTGTTTATTTATGTACTACTATACTTGCAGAGGACCCAAGTTAAATTTCCAGCATCCACTTCAGACAGCTCACTGCTATTTATAAACCGAGTGGGTGTGGGTGTATGGGTACAGCTGCTGGTAGATACCCCTGCAGCTGGATGGAGTTGAACATGATAGTGAGCCACCCAACATAGCTTCTGGGAGCTAAACTTGGTCCTCTGAAAAAAGTGCTCTTAAACCTCGGAACCATCTCTCCACCTCTAAAAGTGACATTTTTTAAAGGTTGGAGTGTCTAGCATACCACCCTTACTGTTTGCATTTCCTTCTGTAAACTACCTCCAGTGTATGTTGTAAAGCCTTCCCAACTTTACAGGTTAATCCGAGTTTATGTCCAGATGGGTTTCAATTTCCTCCATGCCTCAATGATTTTCATGAAATATGTATAGGCCATATTGAGATTTGTTGTTTTAGTTTGGATGGTTTTGGTTTTGTTTTCTTTTGACCTTCTCAGTATCTCATGGTGCCATGTGGAACACAGGGACCCGTGTTAAATATACTCCATGTGTTAAAGATTTCCAAAGGTAGAATTAGCTGTCACCTCTGTCATCTCCAAAAGTGCCCCAAGATTTAGTGTGAGTTAGGCATTAAACTGATAAGTTGGCCAACAATTTTGCTTGTTGAATTCTAAAGTAGGCTTTAGAATCCAGCTACCTGGTTTCAGATCTTTGTGATGGATTCATGGTGGCTCTATGGTCCTAGGCAAGTTATTTAGCCTGTGTTTTCTCTCCTTGAAAGCAATCAGTCCTTACTTCATAGGGTACTTAAGGATTACAACTACTTTGATAGCAACTAGCAGATAGTGAACACTTATTATTAGCTGTTTTCTATAGAGCAAAGGCTCTTGATTTTTGTTTTTTCCCCCATTTCAATGAATGGTTGAGATAGGGTCTCATAGCCTATGCTGACCTTGAACTCAGAATGTAGTAAGTGTAGCATGTGTCCTTGAATATTATTATTGAGGCAGGTTTCCATGAAGCCCTGGTTGTCCTGGAACTAAGAAATTCACCTGCCTCTCTTACTACCACTGCCACGTGTCACCATGTCTATTTGGATGTCCAGTATTGTGAAGTGTTCCTTACTGTGAAGTAAAACAGCCCTCTCCAGTTGTTTGCAAGGTAGTAGCTGTGATGCCTCTGACTGGATGTCTGCTTATCAACTGTATGCCTCCAAGGAGCTCTATTGCTTTTAATTGGCTTTGTGCAATGGATGTGGGTTTATGCTGTTGGTGTATTGAACTTTTCAGAGAAATTGTGCTAACTCCAGTAGAACAGCACCTTGTAACCTTGGGAACAGGTATGAGATGCTCCCATTTACTGCTTGGATTTCAGAATCTACCCTTCAATGAACTGTGATTGCTAGAACATCATGAAATTGTTGAAGAGGCACTCTGACACTCTGAAAGGGTCTATATTTGAAGTAAAAGATGAGATTGTTGCCAGGCAGTGGTGGCACACATCTTTAATGCCAGCACTTGGAAGGCAGGCTGGCCTGTCTGGTTTACAGAATGAGTTCCAGGACAGTAAGTTTCAGAACAGCCAAGGCCAAGAAAAAAAAACCCTCCTCCCCAAAAGGAATTAAGAACCTCAATAATTATATTGACCTGGGCCTGAGCTTAGGCTTTTTAGGGTCTTCACTTGGGTATCAGGTTGTGACATTTTGCTGTTGATAGCTATATTGGAAACACTCCCAGTCTGACTCGAGATGATAGGGAAACCTGCCAAGTATGAGAGACCTCATAGGGAAAATATAGTGCCAGCCACCCTGCAGACCAGGTGAGCATTGCCAAGGCACCATTCAGATGCGGTGCCCGGCAGACATGGAGTAGCCTAGGATGAAAGCAAAAGCACTTGAAAGTCTTGAGACAGGTTTGTAACCTTCTGAAAACAGATGAATAAGGGTTTTTGGTTATGTTTGTTTGGCCTTATAAGAATCCCAAACTGCATTTTTTTTTCATCCAAATTCATATAATTTTTAATTTGGCTTTTTTTGGTATGGCCTTGTAAACAGATTTACAAGCAATTTTAATTTTCTTTTTAATGCCAACTATAATCCCATCAATTTATTTCTAAAGAAATGTAAACTGTTCATACATCACAGTGTTAAAAACAAGTACCCGTATGTGTGATAGGGCCAGCAGAAGACTCCACATGCTCTGCCCTAGGCAGGCCTTGGCCATACTGGTAGAAATGCTGCACAAATATTCTTGTGCCATCCCATTGGAGCACCAAAGTGGACCCCAAGGAAAGGCAGGGGGGAGGGGAATCTTTTGAAATGTTTCCAGGAGCTCTGTGTGTTCCTCTCTCAGCCCAGGAGTGCTGCAAAAAGCTACAAGGACACTGATGAGACAGTAGATCTGTTGCCATCTAGGGAAGATCTGGCCTGGAGCGTGGCTGCCTGGATTCGAAAATGGGTCCTTGATTCCATCGAGTAGTTCTTGTAGTTTTGCCTAAAGGGGAGCAAAGTCAGATTCAGGAAGCTTGGCTGTTCTAGAAAATGTGTCATACATTTGAGGTATGTGTGACACCACCCTTAGGACACTGAGCCTTAAGCCATGGGAGGCTTATTTAAAGGGTCTACTCTCCTTCCATTACTATCATGAGCTTGAAGTCAGGAGACTTGGGTCTTTATACACCATCTTTTGTAGCTTGTTTAGGGGTGGGCCTTTGTGTCTAGAATTCCAGCTAAATTTGTAAGTTGAGGGAAAACTCTTGTGGTAGATTAGAGCTGCATTCCCAGAATACTACCCTTGCCAGCAGCCTCACTGTATGTAGCCAGCTCTGAGGGAGCACAGAGAGGAAAATATGGAGGTTGACCAGCCTTACTTGGCGGAGTCTAGGAGTTTGATGGCCTCTTCATTTCTGCCTTGCTCCATGAACAGCAGAGCCAACTCCAACAGGGCATTTGGTATCAAGTAGTGGTCATATTTAATCTTCTTTTCACTGCAGAATAGAAGCAAACATGGCCCATCCCTCAGGTCCTCCCCACTGGTGTGGCCTTAGCTCACCTGCCTGTTCCAGGCTCAACCACTATCTTCTGCAGGTTGAATGATCTCAAACTAGGAAGCTTGCTTTGGAACCACCAGCCTTGATGCGAGGGGGAGGAGTGAAGGGAGGCCAGGAAGGTATGAAAAATCCTGGAAAAGCCTGTTCCTTTCTGGCACCCACTGACCCATGCTCCATGCTGCCCTGGAGACCTTTATATTTTTAATTAGGAGGGAAGGTCCTTACTGATGTCACCTGAAGCTGGTTTGTGTTCTGTGTCCAGCCATACTCCCCTTCAAACTTTCTCCTTTAGCATGCTAAACTTCCAAATTTACTGAAACAAAGTCTCACTATGTCTTGGCCTCAAACTCTTAGAGGTCCTCCTGCCTCTGCCTCCCAAGTGCCAGGATTAAAAGTGTGTACCATAAACCTCCAAATTAAACATCAGCCCTATAAACTTTCCTGGTATAGCTCATCCTTGCACGGAGTGGACATGAGCACATGTGTGATGAATGAGATGAGTGGAGATAGCACTGGAGTGCAGTGGGAGGTGGAGAAGCCAAGCCTAGAGAAGCCACAAGAAGTACTTACTTGGCAGAGATGCTCCTGAAATTCTCTTCTGCCTCCTGGATTCGGCCCAGGTATTTCAGACACAGGCCTTTCAGCAGTTTGACCAAGCAGTCATCATCTGTTGAGTACTCATTCTCTGAGAATAAGGGTGTGGGGGAAGAAGGTAGGCTTGCTCACTTCTGCAACAAACAGTTTTACTCAGGGAGCCCCTCTGTGGAACCCAGGACACAGGTGAATCAGACAATTAACCTCAGGGGACTCACATCTGAGAAGAAAAGACAGTTACTCAAAAGAAGGCCCTGGACAAGGAGACAAGGGACACTTGCTTAGAGGAGCTAACACTGGTCTTCTAAAAAACTGGTTACTAGAATAGAGGAATGAGAGGAGATTTTTGGCAGAGAAACCTTCATCCCTAAAGACCTGACCTAGCCTGGCAGGTTCAAGAGCCTGAGAGTAGTAGTCACCTGGGCCCATTGCCAGCATCTCTTCAGCCTTGGTGATGACCTCAAGCATCCCATCAGTGAGTTTCGGCTGCTTCCCAATCACAGCATAGCCATTCCAGATGTACATCATTTCCTGAGAGTAGGAGTGGGGCAAGTCAGTCCTGGGTCTCTGCCTCAGCAGGGTCTCAGTTTTCCCATCTATAAAACAGGCAGCTCAGTTCAAAAGATCTGAGGCCTTTGGGTCCCTGATCTTCCAGGTCTCCCAGCCTGTGAAGCTGTAGGGCTGAGGATAGTGTGGAGGCAGCCTTACCAGCAACTTGTTATTGAAAACGCATGTAATCTATGAGGATTTAGGGCGGCCCAACTGCCAGCAGGTTTCAGTTACTTTCCTGCTATGGTCACTATGAAAACTATTATGACCTCTCTTTATCCAAACATCTCCCTCGAGGATTGGGCCCTGCCAGCACTGTCCCAGAAGCCATCCCTGCTCCAGTTGGCAGGACCTCCCCTACTGGAGGAAACGAAAGCCTCTTAAGACAGCAGAACCTAAGATTGACAACAGTGGGCTCAAGGATGGCAGCCTCTTCACGCAAATCAGAAAACATCCCTATTGCTTTTCTCCTCGACTGACATCAAAAATGTCAGATAATGGTTACAAATGCAGTTCATATAAAGCCCTAAAAGACTGTTAAGCAGATTCTTGTTACAATGCAGGTTTAAATCAGTGTTTAAGTTGCTCTGGTCTCAAGACAGCAAACCGGCTGTGAAGGAAAATCAGCAGTAGATAGCCTGGTTTAGGCCTGTCCTTTCCCGTTTACCTAATCATGGATCACTTTCTACATAAGTAGCATTTACATTGTCAGTGTCATCACATCTCCTGCCTTTCCCATAATAGTCTCTTCCCCCATTTGATATTTTTTTTGGAGACAGGGTCTCATGTATCCCAGGCTGTCCTCAAACTCACTGTGTAGTTTGAGGATAACCCTCCTGCCTCCACTTTCCAAGTCCTGGGATTACAGATATGTGCCACCCTACTCAGTCTGTCAAATACTTCAAAACACTTACATAGAGGATACAAGCTCTAAGAAGAATAAACTGAGTAAGGAGAGGTCAGCTTAGAAAGTATTGGACACAAGTCATCAGTGGATCCTAACACCTCTGCATGAACTGGGCCAGGTGGCAATGAAGATGTTGACTTCACAGTAGGAGAGCTGGACAAAAGCATTTGTTCAGGATGCCAGCTCCAACCATGCATGGAATTAACCTAACAGTAGCCCTGAATTCAGGCTCTGGAGCCTCACAGCTGAGTTCAAACCTGACACCCCATCTGCGTGGGCAGACAAGTTTGGTCATCTTTCTACTGACCATGCTGTAGGCCTTACACCCCCTGCCATGCAAGTTTTGTTCAAAGTCAAACATAACCTGAGCTGAGACCTCCCACCCTCACCTCAGAAAAGGTTGATCTAATAAAGACAATGTAAATAGCAATTAGAATCCTGTGACAACAGAACAAGACAGGAACAAGAACCAGGTGATCCCTCTGCTTGGGGCTGGGGTGCTGCTGCCTAGTGTCTAGGAGAGCTGCTCTTCCTGCCTTAAGGCATCTGCAGCCCATTGGCCTGTCTCCCCCGCCCAGGTGAATTGTGAAACCCTCTCCAGTCCATTCCTCCACCTGCCCCAGAGGCTGTCTTCCTACTCACCAGAGCAGGGATTGGCAATGAGATGGGGTTGGGGGAGAGGTAGCGTCTGGACTTCCGGATGGCAAACTTCTCTGTGGGTAGAGATTTCCCAGCTATCTTGAGCTTCAAACCTGGCACTGCTCTGAAAAAACAAATGGGGAAAGAAGGGTTAAGGGTTCTGTTCAGTGGTAGAGCCCCTGCCTAAAATATTCAGTTCCCCAGCAACAAACACAGCTGGACTATAGGGAGAATGAAACAGGTCTCCAATCTCAACTTGGCCTCTCTATGTAGGTCTCAGTTTCCACACTGCATGATGAGAGAACTTAACTCTAAAAAGCATATCAAGGTTCCAGCCAGTGGTTATGGTCACAGTCCTTGCATGACCGGGTTGTTTGCAAAGGCCCCAGAGCTGGCAGTGTGAGAATGTTACCTAGATACCCTGCAGGCCTGCCTCCTGCTTATCTCCCCTTGACGCCCAGGCCTTCCTGGGAGGGCCCACAAGTCTAATCCCAGTTTCACAGGCAAGAGCAACACCCGGAGAAAGGGAGGGACCTGCACAGACAAACCCTTAATTAACTCCAGCCTCCTGACTTGTGGCCTCAGCTGTTTCAAGGGTAGAATAAAATGCACACAGCTGGGTATGCCTTGGCTAGAGCCTCACCCACTACCAGGCCACTGGGTGTGGCTGGGATCTCAGACCCCAGGCTGTAAGGAAAGAACTGGACTGATGAGGCCACTGTAGATTCCTTGCTGCTTATTTATTGCAGAACCTCTCTGGGTCTGTTTCCTAATCTCTAAAGCTCAGATTGTACCACCTCTCGAGCTTTCTGGGGGTGGGGAATTCTGTGAGCTGGGACCACAGTTTGCTGTAGTAGCAGGCCCTCAACAGGTAAGTGCTTTGTTACAGCACTAATCAAGGTCTGCTAATGGAGCCAGCCAGCCTCATCTTGACCATGGAGGAAGGCTCTAGACTCCATCCTCCAACTCCAGGATGGGCTTGCTAACATTTGACCCTTCACAAAAGGCAAATAAGTGAGAAAGAATAATGAAAACAGCAGCACTCTGGGGGAAGTCCAATTGGTTCCAAGTTCTACTCCAGGGTCTTCAAATACATTTTCCAATTGCACTGCTTTTTATTCCTATCCTTTGGGAATTGTCCAAAATGGATTTAGTTCTGTAGCTTCTCTGTGGCTGTAGCTAACTCTTCCTCTCTGGACCTCAGTCTGGTGGTCTGAATGAGATATGTCCCCATAGGCTTAGGCATTTGCACACTTGGTCCCCAGTTGGTGGCGCTGTTTGGGGGTGGTGGTGCTGTTTGGGGGGGAGGTTTAGGAGGTGTGACTGTTCTGAGGGAGTATATCACTGGGGGCAGACTTTGAGAGTTATAGCCTCACCTCACTTCCAGGTCTGCTCTCTGCTCTGCATTTGCAAATCTGATCTCAGCTTGCTGCTCTTGCTGCATCATGCCTGGTGCTTGTTACATGTCTACCCTCCCCTTTACCATCACTCCCCTGCCATCACCTCTACCATGATGGACTCACCCTCTGGAAATGTAAGCCAAAAAAACTTCCATAAATTGCCTTGGTCACTTTATCACAGCATCAGAAGTAATAGTGCCTATCTGTCCTAGTGACCAGATGAAAGGGATGAGTGCTAAAAGGTTCTGACAAAACATATTCAAATTATTCCAACGAGCTGCAGCGATGAGTGATGGCCAGAGGGGAATAAGGGCACAGGACACTCAGAGCTGGGAGTGCCTATCCTATCACTGCAGTTCAGGTAGCCACAGTAAGGCCTACAACAAGAGCACCATGGTGGGGCCGACCTGAATAACTCCACTTCATCATCCCCGAAAGGCTTGTAGTCTTCCTTCCCAAACATGCTGAGGTAGGCGGCCTTCATGTAGATGTAGGTGGCCTAGGGGAGACAGCAGCAGTGAGTTAAAGAGCCACCCTCCCTCCGATCACAGCTCCACACTGTCGCCACCTAGACTCCAAGACCTGAGCAACATGCAGGCCCACTAAGACATGGGGAGCATGGAGGGGTGCTACTAGGAAGCAGTGACCACGGTGGCCTCTGAAGGCTGATGGGAAGATTGAGACTCCCGGGTACCCATCTTAGTGGAAGTAGAAAGGGTCGCATGGCCTTCATCAGGGACTATATGAAAGAGTCGTAAGTTTAGAACAGGACTCTGGCAGAGGTGGGGTAGACCTACATCACTCACTTTTACACCTTCACCTCAGTGCATCCTAAAGAAACCATCTAACAGGACCTTGCCTGCTAGATCCATAGGCCACCTGACAGGGAAAGTGGGGAGCATTGCTTGAGCTGCAGAGTGACACACATCAGCACAAGTCCCACAAGAAAGGTGCTGGGGTTTGGGTGAGAGACATTCGGCTCTGTGCTGCCCTCAAGTGGCTAAGTTTTGAAAAGGCTGTCTTTCCCCTCCCCCTCCCCCGCCAAGGAAAACACCTGCTAGTAGCCACGAAAGGGGTGGAGAAGGAAAGGGAACCTGGAATCTCCACCAGCACCATCCATGCTGAAACAGCCTCGAGGTGGCCTGCACTTCAGACCGGGGACCAAGCTGGTCTTTGTGAGTGTGTAACGGAGTCTCCTCATGAAACCATTAACATGATTCTCCCCAGTTCCTAACGTTGTAGGGACAGTACCTCATGTCTAGTACACATAGTCTAAGCCAGTCCCATAAGCAGTGGGGATAGTCCACAGCCTTCACCCCAGGACATCATTCTCACTGTAACACTGCCTCAGACACAATCAGTTTATTCTGCTTTGTAAGCTAAGAATTTAAAGCTAACAGTAGGGACTCTAATTAGCATGAATAACCAGGTCAAAAATCTTGTGATGTCTAAGAAAAAAGAAAAGGCTTTAAAAATGTTAGTCTTGCTAGGTGGTGGTGGTGTCACACGCCTTTAATCCCAGCACTTGGGAGACAGAGGCAGGTGGATCTCTGAGTTCTAGGACAGCCAAGGCTACACAGAGAAGCCCTGTCTCAAAAAACAAACACAAAAAGGTTTGACTAACAATCAACCAATTAACAAGTTAGGATTTAGGATCCAGGAATAGTAATTAGTGTCCCTGACTGCAGCAGCTGGGAAGGTGGGCAGGTATGTCATGAGATCCTTAGCTTCAATGTAAGCTTGAGGCTAGCCTGGACTAAGTGAGCCCCCCCCCCTCTCTCTCTCTCACACACACACACACACACACACACACACTCGGTAAAAGTTCTACATGGCTTAGCAGGCAAAGTGGTTGCTGCACAGCTTTAACAGCCTGAAACGGGGAGAATGGACTCCACTAGCTGTCCTCTTGCCTTCAGACACACTGGCACTCCTGCCCACAATCTATGCACAACAATAATTTAAAAATACAATAGGCACAAGTAGATGAGAAATATCTGGGAAAATGTTCAACATCCTCATCCATAAGGGAAATGCAAATCAAAGCTACATTGGAGAAAACCAATGGGAACAATGGTGAGGGTGTGGGGAAAGCGGGACACTCACGTATCTGCTAATATGTGTAAACTGGTGCAGCCAGTGTGGAAATCAGTATGGACATCCTTCAGGTATAAAATAGAGCTATCCTCTGATTGGGATACCCCACTCCTGAGTGCATACTTAAAGGAGTAAGCTTCGGCTGCTGCCGAGGCTTCAGTTTCTCCAATATTCTCTGCCAGCCTCTTGGTGCCAAGCCTCAGCTGCTTTTCATGACTCCTCTGTGCTTTCAAACCCAGCACCATCTGGTGACTTACACATCAAGTTCAGCTGCTAGTGCAAGGTACAAACGTGGTGGCCTCAGTGATGCTGATCTCCTGTTAATCACCGCTGATTCTTCTCTACTCAAAATAGCAACCAGCCTTGATAGCCTTTGACTCTCAAATCCCCCTCTGGAACATCACAAGCCAGGCCTCCATCACCTTCATTACTCAAATTCTTATCTCCCAAGCTCTCACAGAACATCTCATCAAGCTTTGAACACTCAATGGCTTTTCTAACCCAAAATTCCAAAATCCACTCACAATTCTCCCCAAAACACGATCAGGTCTATCATAGCAACACCCCTTGTCTTAGGGTTACTAATGTTATGAAACACCCTGATAAAAAGCAAGTTGGAAAGAAAAGGGTTTATTTAATCCAAAGTTCCATATAACCATTCATCAGAAAAGTGAGGGCAGAAACCTTGAGGCAGGAACTGACACAGAGACCATGGAAGAGTTCTGCTTATTGGCTTGCTTCCTATGGCTTGTTCATCCTAGTTTCTTCAAAAAAAAAAAAAAAAAACAACCCAGGACCACCAGCTCAGGTGTGCGTCACCCACAATGAGCTGGGCCCTCCCACACCAATCACTAAGAAAATGCCCCACAGTCTTGACTACAGCTGGATCTGGGAGGGGAGGTGTTTCAAGATAAGGTTTTTCTGTGTAGTCCTGGCTGTCCTGGAACACACTCTGTAGACCATGCTGACCTCAAACTCAAAAAGATCTGCCCACTTCTGCCTCCCAAATGCTGGGATTAAAGGTATGCACCACCACCCCTGGCACCTACAGCTGAATCTTTTAGAAGCATTTTCTTAATTGAAGCTCCCTCCTCTTTGATGATGACTCTAGCCTGGGCCAGGCTGATATAAGACTAGCCAGCACAGTCATAGCAACAGAAAGCAAACTGGAGTTCGATGGATGGATAATAGATTAGATAGACAGACAGATGTGTGACATGAAAGGAAAAGGGAGACAGGAGGCCAGGCGGTGGTGGCACACACCTTTAACCCCAACACTCGGGAAGCAGAGGCAAGCGGATCTCTGTGAGTTCAAAGCCAGCCTGGTCTACAAGAGCTAGTGCCAGGACAGCTTCCAAAGATACAGAAAAACCCTGTCTTGAAAAAAATCAAAAAAAAAAAGGAAGACAGGGGAAAGGAGAACTGAGGAGGTGTTCATCAAGGGGTGGGTATAGGCGAGAGACTGAAAATAAGCCAACTACAGATTATACGTTCATATATATATGTATATGTACATACATACATATATATGCAATAAATAATTTTGTATGCTAACCTCCAAAAATTTTTAAAGATTGTTAAGTTTAGCTTGAGGTGGTGTCTCACATCTCTAATCCTGACAATTGTTAGGCTAAATCAGGAAAATAACTGCAAGTGTTAAGGACAGCCTGAACTACATAGTGAGTTCTAGGCTTGGGCAGAGTGAGAGACTACATTAGGGTTTCTATTGCTGTTATGAAGCACTATGACCAGAAGCAACTTGGGGAGAAAACGGTTCATTTTACCCATGCTTCCAACAACAGCTCATCATAGAAAGCAGCAAGGGCAGGAACCTGGAGGCAGGAGCTGATGCAGAGGCCATGGAGGGGTGGGGCTTGACCATCATGGCTTGCTCAGTTTGCTTTCTTATAGCATCCAGAACCACCAGCCCACAATGGGCTAGGCCCTCCTACATCAATCCCTAACTCCTGATCTTATGGAGGCATTTTATCAATCTTCCCAAACAAAACAAACAAAAAGCAAAAGATGGGCTGGGGAGCTGGCTCAGTGGGTAAAATGCTTGCTGCACAGGTGTGAGGGCCTGAATTCAAAACCCCAGCACACACATAAAGCCAGATGTTGTCACAGGTGTCTGTAAGCCCAGGTGCCTGGGACTGGGGAGTATGGTTGAGTTGGCACAGGGCAGGCCCAGGGAGATCCCAGAGCTCACTGGCCAGCCCACCCAGCTAAATGGCAAGGTTAACATTCTGTGGAGAGACAGCAACTCAAAAAATAAGGTGCAGAGCAAGAGAATGACATCTGGAAGTCAACATCTGGCCTCCTTCATAGATCCATGTGCCAAATATATGCTCTGGCACACAAACATGAGTTATTGAGTAATAACTATCACATATGAAAATTAATATGTGGTCTCTTATATTCAAGAGGAACACACAGGCTACATAGATCATATGAGGGGACAAGGGAGACAGACCAAAATCACTAAACCACAGGAGGAGCTAAACAAGGATACTGGACAAGACTTTAAAATTGTAGTGATACATGATTTAACCCCAGCCATCCCCCTGCTCCAGACCAGAGGGACTCCCTCCAGAAGCCCACTGCAGCCTGAATAGTCCTCCTTCAAGACACACATGGCCCACCCCTTGATTGAACCTGTGTTGTCCCTGATAGGGGACTTTTTTCACTAGAAGCCAACTCAAAACATCTTGTGTGCTTCCTGTCTTCAGGATGGGCCTTCTATGGGGCCTTTGCTTTGTTCCATGTGTACTCCGTGCCTAGGCTAGGGTCTAGCATTGAGAGTGCCCAGCAAGCACAAACATTCAAGGCCCTCTCTGCCCAAAGATCCTCTCAGAATCTCCACAGCATCTTCACATGCCGTTTTTTCTCCATCCCTCCACAGCCCTTCAGGGGCTTTGCCTGTGAAGACACTTTCTCTGGTAGGCTCTCTCCTCTAAGAGCCTCCCTGCCCCCACCCCAACTGGCCTCTCTCACCGTCACTGTACACCAGCAGTCCGGGACCACAATCACCCTTCTGATCCAGGCCCTTCTCCCTGAGGTCAGCTGTTTACCCTCTAATCCCACAAGTGTTCACCTCACTGGAGTAGGAACCCCAGGCTGTGCCAGGCAGACAGTGCCTTCTCTAACCCCGAGCAGTAGCCAGCGGAGGCTCATGCCTGCAGCCCCTCCCCCAATATACCACAAGCCCTCACCAGTGAACACAGCCTTGGCAGTGCCCTCACCCCCCAGCCCTGGTTTCTTGCTCTGGGTTCTGTCTGCCCTCTCACGTCCTCCTTTTCCCTAAATCTTCCTCCCTGACTGCTCAAATGTTTCACCTTCCAGAATCGGCCCTCTTTGTCCCCTGGTGGGTCTTCCGGGGGCTGCCTCTGCTCCCAGACTTCTGCCTTTATAGGACTAAGCAGTGTCACCACCGACCGAATTCCTACCATCTTATCCCCAGGCTACAAGCTCTGGGCCAACTCATGGTCTCCACAGGGTGAACTTTTAGTGGTCCCAGCAGAGGAGCTGAATACAGGAGCTAGCATATATGACAATGTGCACAGACAAACCCAGAGTTGGAAGCTATAGGATGCTGTGGCAGTCTGGCACTGGGAGAGCAGAAAGGGATCAGGCCCCAAAACTGAAGCCACTTTTCACCGGAAACCTATCTAAGGCAGGCAAATGCAGACAGAAGAGAACTCACTACCCCAAAGTCACTTGGTGAGGTGTTTCTCACAGCAGACCTCTCCATGCCCGAGAAGTCTGGCCTGCCCACTGCACCTCACTGTAGCTGTGTGGTCACGCCAGGCCTCCCTGTTCCCATGTGGGTGGATGCTGCTGCCTGCCTCACTCCACAGGAAAGATTCTGCAGTCATATTTAATTCACAAAGGTTCCTTGAGGCTTTGTTCTTGTCGGGAGTGGGGAGCTAGGCCCCCCAAGGATGCACCTTCAACAGCAGGAGCCGGAGCCGCAAGGCAAACCCAGCCTCCTTGTGAGGACTTGGGCACGGTGAAAAAGGAAGACAAAAGGCTAGAGACAGGGTGGGTGATTACCCAGGGGAATGTGCTCCCTCCCAACTCCACCTGCCCCAGGTTTTCTCTTCAACTTGGTTCCCAGTGAAGAGCACGGAAGAGTCAGAGTCAGAGAGTCCCTTCTCTGACACACCTCTTCCAGTCACATCCCCTCATTTTTCTTCTGAAAACACGCCTCTCCCTACTCTCAACCTTCCCGCTGTTTCAGATGTTGACAGGAGATGTCTGAGGCTTAGTTTGGTTGAAATGAAGAAGATGTAATGTGGGGGCAGCCCTTGGCCACCTCGCCTGTTGTGTGAAGAGAGGACACAACTGCTAACCCAGATGATAGAGTTGGAACCCCTGGAGTCAGGTGATGCCAAGTAATTTCAGTTATGTGAGCCCACAAGCCTCCAGGGTTTTAGATTTGTTTCACCCCAGTGGTCACTAGACCCGCTGGGGCTATTTGATTAAAAATAAATAAAATGTAAACATTCAGTTGAGCTGGGCATGTTCTATGTGTCCATGTGGCTGGCAGCTACCATACTTGAGTAGTGCAAAAGAAAGAGACCCCTGCCATAGTGGACATTTCTATAGTACATGCATAGACATGAGTCATGTCTCTATTCCTTGTGACTACATAGCTGTGCTGATGCATTAGAGTTGAAGGAGGGTAGCTCACTGACGAGGGGGATGCTTAGAACGAACACATGTGGGCCTGGATTCAGTGCCCAGCACCAAATCAAGTGTCTCTGCTTATCACAGCTTTCAACTCCTCCCAACCCTGAGTCCTGTTCAAACATTTGGTTCTGATTAGATCCCAGTGGACACATACATGTTCAGTTTGGGGTCTCCTTGGCCCAGCTAGGTGACCCCTGGCCACCCAACACCCTGCCCCACAATGTTAGCCCACCTTGGACCAGGAGTTCTCCTTGCTCAGCAGGTCAGCGTAGAAGTAGGCCATCTTCCACTGGCCCTTGTAGGTGAAGCACCACATGAGTTCCCAGTAACACATGTGGTGGAACTGCTTCCAGTGTTGCTGGGCCTCACAACACTCCTCGAACCGCCGGATGGCCTGTGGGCAGCTGCGGGTCAGCCTCGAGGACCCACCCAGCCAACACCTCTGCACCCCTTAACTCCACAGCAGGGATGGCTCCCACAAGGCATGGTGAGCACCAGGTCAAGATGGGGCCTGGGAAGCCAGGGAATCTGACTTCCTGCCTGGCTCGAAGTCTGATAGGCCACAGGCCCGTGACTGCCTCTCATTTTGACTCCAGAGATTTGGTCACGAAATGAAAGTGTGGAACAGAGCACACTGGGGTGGGGGTGGGGGTGGTGACGGGACAAGACAGGACGAAAAGGTGCTAATACTGCAGTGTTTGCCTTGGTGTGAACATTGTATGACGATGTGGGCGGAGGCCAGGGGCCAACCTCAAGTGTCTTTCCTCAGGAGCTGTCCCTATTTGTTTGTTTTTGAGACAGGGTTTCTCTGGGACCTGGGACTCCCCAGTTAGGCTAGGCTGGCTGGCTAACAAACCTCAGGGATGCACTGTCCCCACCCCCAGCACTGGGATTATAATAAGCATGTGCCATCATGTCTGACTTTTTCACATGGGTGCTGGGAACTAAAGTCAGGTGGCCTCTTCATGTGCCATCTACCCAGCCCCAGACGGTGTTAATATTATACTGATATAATAATGTCTGCACCTCAGAGAAAATGCCAAAGATTCTAGTAGTTTCCATGGTTACCCACACCTGGGGATTTACCCTGGTAAGGCTGGCTGCAGACTTCCAGGACTCTATAACGTGGTCCTCTACGTTGGCATAGTGCTCTGACTTGACCCTGACTGTGACCTTCCCTGTGTAGCCCTTTCCATGGTTCTTTCCCTTCCTACATCAACCCACCACCACGCCCTGCACAGCAGCTTTCCTGATGAGAAATGCCAAAAGCCATCGCTCTATCCAAAAACCTACAGCACAAACGCCAGTCTCCCTCCTCCCAGACGAGCCCAGTCAGATGTGCCTCTCCCACCAGGCTCTTTCATGGGCTTGCCCTACCCCCAAGGATGCTTCTATACGTCTAATTCCTCACTGGGCTGGGACATTCCCAAAAGACCCCCACATCACTCACAGCATCAATATTCCCTTTGATAGCTTCAATCCGCCCGGCAAAGAACAGGAAGATGGCACCCTGCAATGACACTCGTGAGGGTCTGTGTGTCCACTGGGTTCGGGCGGGATGGGGTGGCCAGCAGGGCTTGGTCTCACCTTGGGGTATCTGTTCAGGTAGGGCTTCAGCAGTTTCTCTGCCTCCTCGATGTTGACATTCCCAGTACCTGAGGGTGGCAAGGAGACATATTGCTCAGGTTACCACTGGGATCTATACTCCTCCCTAGCAACCTGCCAAGGCCTTCTTGGGTCTTCTGTGTTGTAATTTAAGAAAAGTGGTGCATGAGAGAAAGACGCCACGAGACACAGTTCAAGCAGAGGGGGTTTTGTTTGTTTGTTTTGTTTTGCTTTTTATTATTAGGGAAAGGGATCATAAAAAGGGAAGGGGAGAGACCAGCCTCCAGAGACAGGAGCAGCAGGAGAAAGGAGGAGGGGAGAAAGAGGAGAGAAAAGGAGGAAAGGGAGGGGGAGGGAAAGGGAGAGAGACGGGAGGTGGGCAGGGGCCCTTTTAAAAGGGAACACAGTGACTATGCACAGGTGGTGCTCTTCGTGGCTGCAGCTGAGGGAGTATCCTGTCAGGACTCCATGGGCAGGCCAGTACAGATGCCTGAATACTGACGCTCTGTCTTTCCCTCTGAGGAATGGCACGATTCTCCCTATTTCTATAGTGACAGGAGGCTTGAACAAGCTAGTGTGGATACTGCCCTGGCACATCACAGGCTCAACCTGGAGGCCATTTCTGAGTCTGCACCTAGAGCAAGGGACAGCATCTTCACACCTTCCACAAGGTGGCGCAATCACCCCCATTTCACACGTGGAACCGGTGCAGAGAGGACGTGGGTGTTCAAACAAGCCAGGTGCGGCAAGCCGGCTGACCTGGCTCTGCCACAGTCTTAGGTGGATGTCAGCCGCTCACCCGGGAGCCCACCACCTCGACACACCGGGTCTCCTACCGAGCACGAAGGTGAGGAAAGTGTGGTAACACAGCAGCAGCATGACACACAGCACTGCGCGGAAGCTGTGCCCCGTCGCGCCCTCCTCCAGCTGCAGCAGCCCGTAATCCTGGGGCGACAAGAACACAGGCTGGGAATCCCAGAGAATCACTGGGTAGGAAGGAGGGCAGTTCTGAGAGTCTGTTGTCCGGGAGACGGGAGACAGGGGCGGTGGCGCCAGGATTGTCATCCTGAGCCAAGGGCTGCCCTCCCCTCCCACCTCTCCATCTGTGCCTACTCTTGACCCTGTCGTGGGCATGGAAGCCAGACCGTCGCCCAGCCTGCTTGGTAGGAGGAAAATGACTGTAACTCCAAGTTGGTGCTGGTGGTGCCAGGAAGCCTGGGCCCAGCCCCAACCTGTAGTCTCTGCCTTCCATTTACCTTCCTCGGTATTCATGCCCTTTCTCAAGTATAGGCCTGTCTGGCCTACCTGAAACCATCCACAGCTGCCCCAGTTTGGAACAGACTCCACCCAATGAAGTACAGCTGCGGGTTGGTGTGGACCTTCCCACCTCAGCACCCTGAGACCACCTACCCAACTGCCTGCTCTCACCCACAAAGAGAAACCACTCGAGCCGAGCCGTGGCCAACCCCACATCTAGTTCTGAAGACAGCTATGTGGCACTCTGGGTTTGTTCGCTGAGATGGGGGTCTCACCATGTATCTCTAACTGCCCTGAAACCCACAATATATTAGACCAGGCTGCTGACCTTGAACTCGGAAATCCTCCTGCTCTGTATGGCACTCTTAACACTTTTTTTTTCCGTGATTAAATAAGATGGATTTTGCCGGGGGTCGGGGTGCACATGCCTATAATCCCAGCATTCGGGCAGATCTCTGAGTTCAAGGCCAGCCTGGTCTATAAAGCAAGTTCCAGGACAGCCAGAATTGTTAATTTGGGAAAACCTGTCTTGGGGGGGGGGGCGAGGGAGATGGATTTTGTATAGTAACATTTCCTTTAAAAGTGATGTCATTTTGGGATAAATAACAGGTAAACCAAAAAGTAGTGGTTCATATACACGGCAGGTGCCAGGAAAAAAACAGAAAAAAACATACACACCAGCATCTTCAGGACAATGGGAATGTTGTGGAATATTTAACTATGTTGTTTATGTTGCAGAATATTAAACTGTGAAAAGATGTGTTACATTCGTTTATGCTGTATTTGTTTAATAACATATAAGTGTGTTGCATTTGTTATACCTTGTCTGCCTAAGGCACCTGATTGGTCTAATAAAAAGCTGAATGGCCAGTGTCTAGGCAGGAGAGGGATAGGCTGGGCTAGTGGGCAGAGGGAATAAATAGGAGAAATCTAGACAAAAGAGGAACAGAGAGAATGAGGGAGAAGGAAAGGAAGGCACACAGCGCCAGCCAGACACGAGAAGTAGGAGAAAGATCTACAGAAGATACAAAAAAAAGCCCTGAGGCAAAATGTAAATAAAGAGAAACAGATGAAAATAAGAGCTAAGCTGTGGCTGAGCATTCAGAATTCATAATAAGTCTCTGTGTCATGATCTGGGAGCTGGGTGGTGGACCAAAAGAAAAAGGCTACATGTGCAGCCTCTTAGTTTTACAGGGAGGAGGCTCATGGGAGAAAGGGAATTGCCTTGGGTCACAGGGAGGGGAGGAGGCTGAGAATGACTCATGACTTCCTGGACAGTGTTCCTCCTGAAGGAGGCCTCCTTGGTCTGCTTCCTCCAACCCCTGCTGGTGTACAAGGTTTGGCCTTAATGAGTCCCCTGATTCCCCCTGAGGTCTGGTGCACAGGGCTCCCTGCACACTCACTGATGGAGTAGGGGCACCAAAGGCTGACCTTGAACGAAGGACTAGCTCAAGATCTTTGAAGTGAGCAGGAGACCAAGGGGGACTACAGCGTGGCCTCTGGTCCCTATGGGGCTGCCCTCACATCTACCCTTACCACACAGTCCCTCCACCCTGCGGACGTCAGGCACGAAGAGATCCGTGGCCTCACAACCCCTGCGGGAAGGCTGAGGCTCAGACAGATCTAGGCTCCCCCCAGGGTCAGAAAGGATTGGCAGCAGGCCCCAAGGTCCCTCAGCCCCACTCTATCTAGCCCAGCTCCAGCCCTGAACTGGGCAGATGGAGGGTACCCAAAGATTGGCAGTTACCTTGTTTCCTGAAAACCCGACGAACTCCAGCAGCCTCAGGATCCTAGTGGGAAGCATGGACAGCGTCTGCAGGGACAGAGGAAGTGAGTGTGTGGAGGGCATCCTAGGGAAAGTCAGAGGACCCCACCATAGCCTGCCTTTACCCAGGTAGGAGAGAGTGACCACCTCGTTCAGACCCACACCAGCCTTTGAACCATCACCCTGGACTGGCTCCTTCCTTCACAAGCAGGCTCAGAATTTCTATGTCCTTCCAACCCAGGACGCTGTTCCATCTGCCTGGAATTCCCTTCCCTGCCTAGAACTCTTGGATCTAAGTCAGCTCAATGCTTATCTCTGTCCCCTGGGAACTCTCCAGTGGCCCTGAAGAGAACTTGGATCCCTGTCCCCTGTGGGATACAGCTGCTTTCAGGTCTCTCCTTCCCAACCAGTCTGAATTTCTGGGGTTGTCAACGTATAATTACCCCACTCGGGGTTCAAGCTTACCAAGTAGGCACATGTAGATTCTCAAGGTGGTTACCCTCAGTGACATTCCAACCCCAGCCCCTTAAGGCTGGTCATAGTTAAGAATCATCTCTAGGTCCCATGCCAAGCACACAGCCAGGCACAATGGCACATGGGGTGACCTTGTGTGGGACAAGGACATGCAGGGGAGCTTCATCTGGGGCCCAGACACTGAGGAAATGAGGGGCTCATACTCACCAGGTTGAAGGCTCCCACACCAAGCTTCACCCCTCCTTCAAAGTGCCTATGGCTCTCTCCCTTGCAGTATTGTGAGGACTGGACAAGGCTGTCCAGTTCCCTGTGGGAAGGATGAGTGCTTAGCCACACACTGGAGCCAGGCTGGGATCCATCCCCCCATCTCCCTGACAGGGTGGGCTCAGCACTCAACAGTGCTGGGTTTAGAGTTCTACAGACCCAAACAGCTGATACCCAAACCAATTTCCATCTTGTCTTCCACGGCAAATGCGTGTTCCTCACCCCTAAATGGTGTCACATTTGCCCTAGTTGTACAGTACCCTCCACTGGCCTCAACTGTCATCTTAGGCTCGATAATTCTTTGGTAGGTGGAAGGAGAGAACCTGTTTCCAGTGTCGGATGTTTAAGACATCCCTGCCCTCCTCCCTCATCAGTGGGACAACCAGGATGTCTGTGGAGCAATGTCTCACAGGAGGCAGTCACCCCCAATGAGAACACCCTGTCCCCCAGGACATTTCCTTGGAGTTCACTTGGCTGGAATCAAACCCTCTTTCTCCTACGTACCAAAAGCACAGAGTCCCCAGCCCAACACAGAGGCTTTCTAGACAGCAACCACCCCTAGACTTCTCTGTGAGGTACTAGAGGGCAGCAGGGAGCACAGTAACCCTGTCCTGTTCCCACAGCAATACCCTCTAAGGGACAGTCCCCACCTATCACTTGAAAACAGAAGAACCCTGGGGCTGGACTTGCTCTGGGGATAAATAGGGTTTCTCAGATGGTATTTACGTGGAGAGGTGATGTGTGAGCTAGAACCCAGGAGGTGAGTTAGAATTAGCCTGGTGCAGAATATTCTGACAGAGGCAACGTTAGACACCTGTGAGACCCTGATGAGTTTGGCATTCTTGAAGAGCTGAGGGCGGGCCTAAGGGTCTGTAGCAGAGTAACATGAGAGGCAGCACTGTTGCGGGAGGGGGCAGTCATGGGCTGACTGGACCCGGGGCTCCATTCTGTAAGCAAGAGGGGCCTCAGGAATTGGGAGGGGTAGCCTGACCAGGTGTGTGCTCTGTGCTCACCATTCTAATAGCTAGCAAGGACACTGGAGGGACTAGACTAGAGCGCTTGTCTAGTGTCCCTAGACAATTCCAGCACAAGCCTTTAGCAGTCGTGTGCAGGGAGCGGTCATTCTGGTGGGGGAGGTAACGACAGCAAGTGTTCTCAAAATGTAACTGGAAGAAAGTTCCAATGTATAACTAGGGGAGGGATGGCTGGGTTTTCAGAGCTTTATCTGACGTCATGACAACTTGAAGATAAGGGACTGCAGCACCACACTGGGTAACAGTGCTCTGGGCTAGGTTTTCAGGGTTTTAACCATCAGCACAGCTTGTCCCTGGATCAGAGGACTTTTGTCAGGGACCCAGACACAGTATGAGGATAATCTAGCCCTTGCTGCCTGTGGTAGTGTGAATGTAATTGGCTACTATAAGCTCATAGGGAATACACTATTGGGAGGTGTGGCTTTGTTGGAGTAGCTGTGGCCTTGTTAGAGGAAGTGTGTCACTGTGGGGGTGGGCTTTGAGGTCTCATATATGCTCAAGACATGCCCAATGTCTCAGACCACTTCCTATTGCCTCCAGGTCAAAATGTGGTCAGCGCCATGTCTGCCTGCATGCCACCCTGTTGCACCATGATGATAATGGAGTAAACATCTGAAAATGTAAGGCACCCAAATTAAACATCTTTCCTTTACAAGAGTTGCATGATCATGGTGTGTCTTCACAGCAATAGATATCCTATGACAGGGAGCATGCATCTGTGTATGCATGTGTGTACGTATGTGTAATCCTGTGTGTTAAAAAGGTCAAGGAAGACTTTATAGGAAAAGTAGCATCTGGGTCTTTATAGATATGTACTTCTGCTGTTGTTCCTTAAAATCCTCTATCTGTCCACCTCTCTGCCCATCAGCACAGGCTGTTTGGGTAGACTCTGGGTCATCCTTTTCCCTAGCAGACAAGGCATTCAAGAATCCAGACATACAAGTATAGCCAGAAAATCAGGAGAACATTATTCCAGAAAATGGAGGTTCTGGGGTGCAGACATTTGTCTAAGCTCACAGCTTTCTAGACTTTTGGCCTCCCACAATGCAGTCTGAGGGGACAGGTAATAGATTCATTGGCCCTAAGCTCCCAGCTCTCCAGAAGCTGGCCCCGCTTACTTGTAAGTCTGGTAGCTGTTTCGGACTTTGATGCCACCCTTGATGAAGCTCACCATATTCTCATCCTGTGGTGGGAGAGACGAAGAGAACTGGGTCCAAGGCAGGTAACTGTAGGCTGGAGGGGGTCACACAAGGCTATGGGCCTTGACAGCCCTCCACCTTGTGCCCAGATCTATGACAGTTGAGGCGGGAGTGGTCAGAGCTCACCCAAAGCAGGCTGCCACAACCCCCTTTCTCAGACAGACAGACAGACACACACACACAGAGTCAACAGTGTCCCCCTCTAGGTAGAAGGACCATGTGAGATGAGGAGGGTTGCTCATTGTTGGAATATTAAAGGTAATTACTGTACTGTATTACAGTCCCAGCAATCCCCAGCAATACCCCAATCCTAGGTGTCCTCTCAGACAATAAATGAGCATGGGCTGAAAAGCATTATCAGGAATGTCCACAGCATCAGTGTCCATGAAACCAAGAACCAAAGCAATCAAGGCTCACCCATGGAAGCTAGGTAAACTGAGGCATTTGCATAAGAGAATATTATACAGTCACACAAAGACAGAGAATCCAAGCCCCACACAAAGTCTTTATGACACAAAACCAAAGCATAACCATATGCTGTTCAGACACAACTGGGAAGCACTAAGGCAGGGATGAAGAGGAAAGTAATGGCTTCTGGGACAGTGTCAGGATGGAGGGATGAGTCTTTCTATGTAGGCTCTGGTCCCCAGCAGAATCAGGGTATGCGTGATAATAATATATAAAAAGCAAATAAAATAAAATAAAGGAAGTAAATAGCACCCAACACTAAAATGCATCTACCCTCCTCCAACACGCATGCATACATGCACACGGGTGATGACTGTCATGTGCCAACCAAGGAGTTCTAGTAAAACTGTGCAGTGACAGTGTGCACAGTTTCCACGTGGTAGGGAAACCCATCTCTGACTTGGCCAGACCCAAACTCAAATCCCAGTTCACTAATTTGCTAATGCTGTGATCCTAGGGAGAGCAGCCCTCCGCTCGAAGACTCTGCTTTGCTGTCCTTTGAAGGGTTAAGTAACAAGTGTAAACACATCAGAAAGGATCTCATGTGGGAGGTATGCAAATACAACATATCCAGGGAGACAGCTCCCACAGCAAAGTGCTTGCCACACAAGCCAAAGGACAGAATTTGATCCCTGGAACCCATTTACAAAGCCAGATGCACTAGAGTGAATCTGTAATCTCTTCCAGAGAATGGAGGCAGAGACAGGAGAATCAGGCTCTCAGGTCAGCCAGCCTGGAGCACACAGCTCAACAGCAGAAATAATGAGAGCTTCTACCTCAAAAGCAAAGTAGGAGAACCAATTCCCAAAAAGTTCTCCTCTGACCTCCACACGTCTATGACATGCCCTTCCCCCTCTCCACCACAGGCTCTCACACCGCACACACAAATGCATGCACTAAATAAATATATTAAAGGATGGAGAGAAAGAGGAAGACACCCGATAACCTCCATTCTCCGTGCACACACCACACCGCATACATATGCACATACCGCACCGCACACACATGCACACACCACACACGTGTAAAAAGCCTGTTATACTATTTGCAACAAGTGTTTGCTGCATAAATAAAGCAAAGCAGACTTGTGACTTGTGACTCTTGACAGGAGCAGCAGCAGTTACCCGAAGGATTGAGAACACGGGGTGAAAACACCTACCCTCCTCATCCATCTCGGCCAGGGTTGGGACTCTGAGCCTTAGACTTTGCCACTTCTCAGGGAGCAAGTCATGCTTGGACTTGGTAACTGCCCCAGAACTCTAAGGCTCTTTGCACATGTGTGGAGCGGGCTGGGGTAAGGGGAGCTTCCTTACCTGCAGGAAGGTCAGGGCTGCTCTCTGCAGCAGGCACTCTGCATAACAGACCTCGGCATGGATTTCCTCTGCAGGAAAAGAAACAAAGTCTGGGGTTCTAGGCAGGAGGCTCAAGTAAAGGGGCATATAAAGTCACAAAGGTACTTTCTACACAGCCCTGGGCCCAAGGAGCAAGGCCACGTTTTCCAGACTTCCAGGTGTTTAGCTGATAATACTGTCCAATGGGTTGAATTTCTGTTCTAACCCTTCCTCCAAGGCCCCAGGCCAGAGCCACCTGTGTCCCAGCATTAGGCCATACAGCCCCCTCGGAGACACCAGAATGGATAGCTTTTTTCCCCTCCCCTACACCCTATCCCTCCCCCCTCCCTGGGCCACCAGAGCCCATGCTTGAAAAGACATCTTCAACACCACACCTTCTGTGAACTGGTCCATTGTGGGACGGTGGACTAGGTTGCTAAAAGAGTCCGACATGGAAGACTTCCTCCGATGCCTGGAGAAGGAAAAAGGCCTCTGGTGATTCCATGAGGTGTAAGAGGGGCCAGCCTATGTCACACTTGTCTTTGTACACACACGCCCTTTGCTATATTTTCAAATATTTGAAGGTTTATAGGCCCCTCCTACAGGATTCTGGAGACTCGGGTCCACAGCTCTCCCAGGCCAGGGCTGGCTTACTGGAATCCTTCCTTCTTTACCGTGCTGGGGTTCAAACTTACAGCACCCCATATGCTGGGCAAGTGCTCTACCAAATGAGTCACAATCCCAACCCCTAGTCTGGCTTTCTAGTCTTTTGGCCTTTGTTGCTTGCTGTCTCTGGCCACCCTCTGGGACCATGCTCAGGCATCACCTCCCCAAGAGCCATCCACATTGTGGCATGAAGCCCGTAGTGACTCCAGTGTCTGCCTCACATTAGATGTCGGGGATGGGGGGGGGGGGTCTGGTGTGAACAGCAGAACCGCCTGGGCCTGGGTTAGAGCGGAGGTGAGAGTATACCTGGTGGTAAATGACGCCACCAGTACACAAACACTCAGGGACAGTTAGCTCATTTATACACTGTGGACTAAACTCACCAGGCCCTGCCACCAGGTCCCCAAGGCAACCCTGTGACTCATCACACCTCTTTTATAAATGAAGGAAGTTGAGTCCTGAGAGAGACCTGCCTAAGACCAAATAAAAGTGGCAGAGATGGAATCCATTTTCTCCCCAGTGATTGGCTCAGACAAGGCTCTACAGCCAGGCCAACAGGGACAGCTCTCAGCACTGGAGGACACAAGGCCTCTTAGCCAGAAGCAGCAGTACTTAAGAGACACACCAGGAACTCGGTTAGGAAGGAGGCAGACAGAAGGGCGGTCTTGCTACCCTATCCCCACCCCCACAGCCCCCACCTCTGACACAGAGACTGTGCTTCCTTCATCATGTTGCCAGCAAGCAGGATGTCCTGGGGGTCGAAGGTCATCATGGCCTGCATCTCCAGGATGGTGGCATAGGTCAGTGAGTGGTACATGCTCTCCTTGGTTCTGTGGGACAAAGTGGGTATTGAGAGCATCGGAGGTGGCCGGCTGGCTGCAGGAGACAGGGTTCCAAAGTCTAACCCTTTCATGGCATCTCAAATGACCTCCATCCAAGGAGGAAGTGGGAGAGCAGGGCTGGGGGTATCAATGTGGTCACAATGCGCGGCAGACAAGAAACCTGCCAAGAGTTTAAAAGCTAATTACAAAACAAAAGCTCTTTTCTTCCTGCTGAGTGACCTCAGTGACCTTCCTGGGGAAGGGGGGGGACACAGGTGCTGGCCTGAGGCTGTTCTCACCCACACTGTACCTGCCTCTTGCCTTCCTCCCCCACTCTGGTCCTACCTGTCCCCAGCGCCCTCTAGACCCATTACTACCTGCTTCCCCATCTCATCTGAACCTCCCAGCTCTCAAGACCATAACCAGCAAGATGGCTCAGCAGGGAAAGGTGCTTGGCATCCAGCCTGACAACCCGGACCCCTCACACTTTCCTCTTTCAGGTCCTCCCCAGGCTCTCCCCCAAACTGATGTCTTTCTCCTAACCCACATCTTTCGACTCAGTCACCACAGCCCTCAGTCATCAAGATCCCTGGGAATTCAGGTTCCTCCTTGGGACCCACATGCCTATGACAAGGCACAGACAACACTCAGCCCGAGTGGAGCACAAGCGTAACTCTCCCTCTGTAGACTGTGGGTGCCACAGGGCAGGGCTTGATGTGACTCATCTCTGTGACCTGGTGTGATGGGGCTGAGCCAGAGCAGTCTCAGAAAGCCTTTACCTCCTGCCTGCCCATGCTCAACCGACCCAAACTCTAGACGAAAGAGTATCCTAGAGTATAAGGACAACATTTAGCCCGATATGGAGAGGACAATGGGCAAAAAAGTGAGCTGGAAAAATGTCCTCGTTGCACATGGAGGAACCCCTTAGCAGCCGGGAACTTGGCTGTTACCCCAGCAACAGGGGGTGATGGTGCTGGATGACTGGACCACTGAGCCTGGCTGGGGACAGCTGCCTACCATGGCAGAAGCCTGCACAGTTTGGTTCCCTTCCCCAAATGTCTTTGTCACTGATTCACAAAACTCCTCACTATCAGGCCAAAGCTGGCAATGTCAGAGGAGAGATGCAGGGTTTTATTGTTAGATCGTGCAGTTTTAGTTAAAGCAAACCCTGTGGAGGGTTACTCTTTTCCTACTGGGTGACCCTCAGAGGTTAGGTTTTGGGGTTTTGTTTTGAGGCAGGGGCCTAGACTTCATTTAACAGATCTCCCTCTGCTTCCCAAATGCTGGGATTGCAGCATGCACCTGCTATAGATCAAGATTCTTGAGGACCAAAGGAACAAAAAGGCTGGTGGATTTCTCCCTGCCCTGACAGTTCCCAGAAGCCTTCCAGCATGTGCCGTGACAGATACTCTGAGTAAGAACAGTGGCCAGTGGAAAGTGTCTGTCTGTCTGTCTGTCTGTCTGTCTCTGGTCTGGAGGGTAAGGGGGGATGGGTGCTGAACCTGGACTTGACAGTCCCTCAGACACAGGCTGGAATCTTGGCTGTGCCAGGCACCTGCTGCATGACTCTGATAGGTCTTCAGGCCTCTCTGAGTCTCAGGATTCCCCTTGGTAGAAAAAACAAGTATAGCCAAGCATAGTGGAGCACACTCTTAATCCCAAAACACTCGGGATGCAGAGGCAGGCAGATCTTTGTAAGTTTGAGGCTAGCCTGGTCTATATGGCAAGTAGGCCAGCCGAGAGCCCCACAAAGGAAATAAAGAGGAAAGAAGGAAGGGAGGAAGAACAGAAGGGAGGAAGGAAGGGAGGGAGGGAGGGAGAAAGAGAGGAAGGGAGGAAGGGAGGAAGGAAAAGTAAATATAATAATCTTTCTGTCCTGGAGTTTTTACAATGATTGAAATTGTTCTTCTAGATTTCAGGCCACATCAACCCGCTCAGTAAATCCGAGTCCCTCTGTCCTGCCAGAGTCACTTCCTTGAGGGCCTTCCTACCAGGGCCAACAGCATCCCTCAGAACATTCCCAGCTTCCCCAGGGTCTCTTGGTCCTATCTTCCCACTCTCTTTGGGTCCTGAGCCCCAGGACTCAGCCCTACCCACCAAGCCACACCTGCTGGGCTCAGAAGGAAAGTGCCCTGCCCAGTCTGCTGGCAGACAAAGTGGAATTTCTAGTCTGAGACCCAAGGCCCTAACACATACCTGCGGCTAAGAATCCTGGCCCTCACCAGCCCACCAGCTGAATATTACAACCTGGAATGACCTGGAGTGGGAAATGGGATACAGAAGTATGGTGGTCCCTCCAAATTCAAACACCCAGAGCTTTACGTGTGCCTTACAAGTTCTCGTTTGTACATGTGGCACTTGGACCCCTGAGCTGACCCAGCTCTGTGAAAGGATGCCTCCACCTAGGGTCCAGACCAGCTATCACGAGGGTGGACAGTGCAGGTGGTGGGCCTGGAGGCTTCTTAAGCCCCTTCCTCCACTAGCAGTCAAGGCTGAGGCCTTGTCAAATCCTGGGCAGCCTTCCTTCCCTGCCTCAGCCTCAACATCTGGCCTCCTTGCCCTGAGCCCTCTAACCTTCTGCTGTACCCAGTTAGGAACTCCAGACTAGGGCTATACAACTGCCCACTCCCCCAGGCTGCCACTGAGCAAGGCTCCAAGGAACTACCCTGCAGACAGGTGACTTCTGAGCTGGAGTCAGCCTCAGCCAAGAGCCTCATCCTGCTCAGAGACAAATTTCCTCTCCTTGTCATCCCCTCAGTACAGCTTAGCAGGTGGCCTCGCCTCTTCCTCAGGGAAGCTCCCGGACATGGCACGGGCAGACCCTGAACTTCCTGCACCAGGAACTCACTTATCTCTACACATGCCCTTTTCTACCCCCTCTCTCCTATTTGGGAGGAAGCCACATGAGGCCCTTCCAAGCAAGGTGACCAGGCCACCCTGCATGAGACCTGGGAGAGCCCAGCAGTCCAGAATGCAGCCTGCAGCACAGGGTGGGGCTGGACTGAATCCAAGTTCTGCCACTGACAAGCCATGGTCATTTATTCAACAGGAGAAATTATTGGAGCTGCCTCTGTGTTCCAGACAGTGCCTGGAGACAGTGCTGAGAGTCATAAGCCAGCAAGCAATGCAGACAGTCTTATTCAGAGATGTGGCATCCACACAGCAGATGCAGAGGCAGGGAGGGGACCGTGGTAAACCCTGTCAAGCCCAAGGAGCACAGAAGGGTGCTACACCCTTCACTGGGGTCAGGACGGCCAAGCAGACCTGTGTACAACACAGAATCATGGATGACTGCGGACCGCACCTTCTCTGAAGTTTCAGTGGGTGTAAATGGGGCCAAGGGGCCGTGTTGTTACTGTTGACCACCACTCTCCAGCAGTGGCTCTCTGTGAAGGTGATGAGGCACTCTTGCTCCTCTTGTAGAAGGAAATCTGACAACTTCTGGTTGTTATGGGTGGAGTGTGATTTTGGTTGCCCTAAGATGAGATGCAGGGAACTTGACACTGACCTTCCAGACTGGCATAGGGACAGTCTGTCCTTAAGTGGGGTGGGCATTCTGGGTGCCAGCTGTGGTTGCACACACCTACAATCCCAGAAATGGGCAACCTGAGGCAGGAGGATCGCAAGTTTAAGGTCATCCTGGACTAAATAGTAAGACTTTGTCTCAAATAAAAAGGGATGATGGCTGATATATGGCTCAGCAGTTAAAAACATTTATTATTGCTAAGGACCCAGGTTTAATTCTTAGCATCCATATGATGGATCACAATTTTTTTTTTAACCTCACTTCCAGGGGATCTGAATATCTCTTCTGGTTCTGTGGCTGGACACCAGGTATACACATGATACACAGACAAATATACAGGCAAACAGTAATATACATAAAATACTAGTAAGAATATAAAGAGGATGGCTGGAGAGATAGCTCAGCAGCTAAAGCAGTTGCAGTCTGAGTAGGAGATTGGAGGATCTCCAGAAACTCACATAAATACTGGGTAGATGCAGTGGCCCACCTATAATTCTATCCCAAGAATGAGAAGACAGGGCACCCCCCAGGGCAAGCTGGGTAGCAAGACTAGCCATATCAGCAGGCTGTGGGTTTGATTCCAAGACCCTGCCTCAATCAATGAGGTGGAAGAGTAATAAAGGATGATTCCAGCATCAACCTTCGGCCCCATATGCATGCACACACACATTCACACACACCCTGACACATGTACATCACACATATGCACACAAACATAAAAGTTAAAAAAGAATGAGTATTAGGAAACTGGTCATATAATCATGGAAGTAAGGAGAAGTCAAGGGAAGGACACTTGGTGACACTGCCCAGAAAGGCAGAAATGCAAGAGAGCTCTCAGCAAGATGGCTCGGTGTGCATAAGGGCATTTGCTGCCAAGCTCGAAGGCCTGAGTTCAATCCTGAATCCACACAGTGGAGGGAGAGAACTGACTCCTGAAAGTTGTCCTCTGACCTCAACATGTGTGCAATGGCCACACACACACACACACACCTTTTAAAAGAACCATAAAGGAGAAGGGAGGGGAGTGTGAAGCCTTGCTTGGGAAGCCCACACCCGCCTGAAGCAAAGGGAACAGAAAAGGGAACTTCCTAGAACAGAAAGAGTTGATTACAAAACTACAGAATGAAAGAGACCTTTATCCCAGCCCGCTGCTCTGAAACCTGGACAGACAGGAGTTGTAGGAGACCTGAAACATGTCTGAGAAGGTGACAGAAAAGATCACACGTGGAGTAAGAACTAGGACTCCACTGTCTTAGTCAAAATCGCTATTGCTGTGGTGAAACACCATGACCAAAAGCAACTTGGGAAAGAAAGGGTTTATTTGGCTCACACTTCCACATCGATGTCCATCTCTTGAAGGAAGTCAGGACAGGAACCTGGAGGCAGGAGCTGATGCAGAGGCCATGGAGGGGTGCCGGTTACTGGCTTGTTCCTCATGGCTTTCTCAGCCTGCTTTCTTCTAGAACCCAGGACCACCAGCCCAGGGGTGGCTCCACCCACAGTGGACTAGGCTCTCCACATCAGTCTTTAATTAAGAAAAAGCCCTGCAGCATGATCTTATGGAGGCGTTTTTTTTTCCAGTGGAGGCTCCCTCTCTAGCTTATGTCAAGCTGACATAAAACTAGCTAGCACAACAGCTTTAGTAGGTTCTGGGGAGTAGGTGAATGATGCCTTCACACTTCTGACAGAAAAAAAAATCTCCAAGCAACTCTTTGTTAGGAAACCTCTAGAAGTCATGCTCTGGTAAAACAGAGGCAACATGAGGTCAGAAATGTGATGCAGAAGGGGCTGGGGCTGGAAGGGACAGTTGGACAAGGCCAGGAAGCACTTGCCTCCCCTCAAAAGGTTCTGGAGAAAGCAGGGCTCACAGCTTCCTTGGTATGTAGAACCTCTGGGGAGAACTTGGGATGGGGTCACCCTGTGGAGAGTTACAAAGAGCTAAGTGTAAAGGAAAACAAACTAGGAAATGAGAGACCAAGACCACTAACAACTCTAGCAAGGAAATGTCATCCAGCTCATCAAACACGACTCATCGTGACAATGAGCAATTATTACGAAGGACCACTCCTGAAATGGAGCTGTGCCTGCAGCTGATTAGAATTCCAGTGCTGTGGATCAACTGGAATGTCTTGGGTCTTGAGGGCTACAGCCATCCCTGCCCATCTCTGTGTCAAAACTAACATCTTGTGACTGGTAGATAAACCTTTTGGGATCTGTGACCTTAGCATACTACTAGCTCCTACCAATCCAGAAGCTAAGAAGGCCAAGAGCATCCTGAGACTGTAATAAAGACCCCCTCATCTTGTTCTACCCATCTCTCTGATGTACCCACCAATGTATTCTACACTTGCCTTGATTTGTGACTTTCTCTGTTCTGTAAAAACTAAAAAAAAAAAAAAACTTCAGGAGACTGCTTCTGTACTGGAACATGGAAATTGGGGTAAAACCTAAATCTGTGCTCCCAGGACATGGTCACTCAAATGCACCAAAATAAACACTGGGAGCTGTGGGTTTGTGTGTGTGTGTGTGTGTGTGTGTGTATGTGTGTGTGTGTGTTGACAATGGTATAAGTGACACACTAATTATAAGGATGTAATAATATCAATTAGTAATTTGACTAAATATTGTAATGCAGTAAGAGGGGCATGTGGGTATGAAAGCTAAATTACTTTGGTTTTGGTTTTCAAGATAAAGACCTCATGTAGCCCAGGATGGCCCTGAATTTGTTCTGTAAAAGAGGATAACTTTGAACTCTCGAACTTTCTATCTCTACCTCCCAAGTACTGGGGTGAAGGGTGCACACCATCATATCTGGGTAAGAAAGCTAAATTCTTTTCTTTTTAGAAAGGATCTTTCTGTGTTATCCTGGCTGTCCTGAAACTCACAGAGATCCACCGATCCACCTGCCTCTGCCTCCCAAGTACTGGGATTATAGGTGTGCACCACCACATCCAGTGAAAGCTACATTCTTATCTACTAAGAGATGAGGTTTTTAAAATGACAAAATATTGACTTTTGGGTTAGTGAGATGGCTCAGCAATACAGGGCCTGAGAACCCAAGTTTGATCCTAGGGTCCCACACGGTGAAACAAGAGACGTGACTCCCTAGAGTTATTCTCTAACTTATAGACACACATACACACACACACACACACACACATTTTTTTTTTATTAAAAGTGAATTTTATGGTACCCACATTATACCTCAGTTTTAAAAACTGAAAAGAAGTGGAGGTAGAAATTGTATGTCAGGCCTGGTGGTGCATGCTGGGATTCCTAGCATTTGGGAGGTGGAGATAGGAGGATCTCAACTCAGAGGTTGGCTTGGAGACCCCGTCTCAAAACTAAACAAGCAACCCAACAGCGAACACTGGAGAAATGCCTTAAAGTGCAGCCCTTATCACTACCCTAAGGCGCAGTGAATGGTTCTAAAAGGGGAAGGTAGAGTAGATTGGAAGACCCTGCCTCCCCCCCCCCCCCCAGTGGACTGGAATGGAAATAGAACATCACCAGCTCCCAATGACTGTGGAAACCATCTGGCTCTTTGCAGGCTGTGGAAGGGATGACAGCCATTTGGATGAGACTTTCCAGGGGTCATGACCCAAAAGTGTAATGTACTCACGGGCTCCTCTAGTCCATGTCCATCCCCTTAAGCTCACCTGGGTTTGAGGTAGCTGAGTGCTTCTGAGAACTGGTTGGTGAGGAAGAGGTCCAGGGCTGTCATGCACTGGTCCAGGGCCTCATGGAGGCTGCTCACAGGAGACCTGAGCAAAGACACAGACATGCAACTCGCGGAGTCTCACTCACTGGCCTGGTCGACCTGACAACTAGGCCTCCTCTGGGCTGCCCATGCTGGGACGCAGGGACCCTTTACACCCACCTCTCAGTGCCCCCCTTGGTGGAAGAAGGGAAGGTGTCATCTGAGACTCGATGGCAGGGTGGGGATGGGCTGAGGGTGGGGAGCAAGGAAGCCATAAGAATGAATGTTTCTTACCCTTCACAGGTGTAAAGGGAATCCTTGTGGCCCTTCTGACCCATTGGGCCCTGAGGGGCACCGCCCAACACCAATCCCACTCTGTCCCTTTGGGTGTTTCTTCTCCGGGTTCTTACTGACCTCACTCTAGAACTGACACTGTCACAATGGGCCACGGAAGGCAATGGTTCTAGATGAGCATTCCAAAGCCTTCCATACTTGTCACCTTCCCGATGGCATCTACATACCTGGCCCTCTTCTGGACCTCAAGTTCCCCTACAGCTCTCAGCATCCTATTCATATATTTAAAGTATTGTCTGTCTCCTGTCTCCCTCCACTAAAATACAAGTTTCTAAAAAAAAAAAAAAAAAAAAAAAAAAAAAAACCAGGAATCTTGCTTGTATCCTTCTGTATCCCCAGCCCTAGTGTCTGGTACAAAGCAGGCTCCTAACAAATCCATGAGTGAGTGAATGAATGAATGAGTTAATAAACAAATGAAGCCTAAGGCTGGGACTTTCCTAGGTATCAGCTTTCCCTTCTGAAAAATGAAAATGCCTCTTATCCAAGAGCCTGATTTGAATGAAAGACGGTGGTATAGTTTTTGAGACAGGGTCTCACTATTAGCCCTGGCTATCCTGGAACCCTTTATGTAGATCAGAATGGCCTGGGACCCACAGAGATCCACCTGCCTGGGTGCTGGGATTAAAGGTGTGCCCTTGAAAGCAGGTTCTTATAGAAGCTTGCCGTCCTGCTGAAGAAAATCCTGATTTTCAAACCCTATCAAAGAGAAAAAATTTCCACTCAGGCCAAGCCCCACACATACTCTGAGGCCGGCCGGCCAGCAGGTCTTCCCAGGTGAACTGAGAAGCATTCAAAGCTTGCCTGTTGCACCTACTCCCCAGCCTGTTCCCTCTCAGCCTTGCCACATTAATGAGCAACACCTCTCCACCCAGTTTCTCAAGCCAGGAGCCTGACAGCCATCTTTGATCCACCCCTTTCACTGGGCTCCGTCTCTCACCCACCTGCCTGCAGGTTTCTGGGCCAAGCTGCCGTCATGGTAACCCAAGTCTGCCAGGAAAGTCCCCTCTCCTCTGTGACCTCCTACCCAGTCTCTTAGCCCCCTTAATACCTCATTTCATGTCCCATAAGACGCCCTTCTCTCTTTTGTTCTGCATTTGCTTATTGGCGGTGGGTTTTTGTACCTGTGTTTTAAATAACAAAGACCCTTTCCAAGGTGATAGAGAGATACACCATGTATGCAGATCAGCTCACAACTTGTGTGTCACAGGAATCGAACTCAGATTGTCAGACTTGGCAGCAAGCATCCTTTACCTGCTGAGCCATCCTGCCTGCCCTTGTTTGTGTTTTAAAATAGGGTCTTACAATGTAGCTATTGTTGTTTGAATGTGAAATGTCACCCATGGGCTCTTGTCTGAACACAGTCCCTAGCTGGTGGTGCTGATTAGGGAGGTGGAACCATTAGGAGATGAGGTTTTCCTAAGGGAAGTGGGCTACTGGGGCGGGGGGGGGGGGCCTTCAGGCTTTGCAGTCCAGCTCTGCTTCCTAAGCACAGATGCAATGTGAGCAGCCAGCTTCCTGCTCCTGCTACCACTTTGCCCAGCATGACGGACAGCATCTCGCAGGAACTGTAGGCCCAGAATAATCCCTTTCTGATATTGCTTTTATCAGAGTTACTTTATCACAGTCACAGGTAAAGAAACTAGGACAGGGCCCGGAGAGGTGGCTCAGCAGTTTAGAGCACTGTTGCTCCTGCAGGGGACCATGGCTCAATTCCCAGCACCCGCATGATGGCTTACAACCATCCATAACTCCACTTCCAGGGATGAGATGTCCCCCTGTGACTTCTGCAGGCACTAAGCACACATGTGGGGCACACATATACATGTCGGCAAGGCATCGGTATCGATAAAACAAACCTAAAGAAGAAAGAGACTAAGATAGCAATCCAAGCTGGCCTCAAACACTCGCTCAGCCCTCCTGCCCCAGCCTCCTAAGTACTGGGGTTACAGGCTGAGAACTTCCTTTAGGGACCCTCCTAACACTCAGCTCCCTGCTCCTTTTTCAGGGTTTTATTACACTAGCTCCTCTTCATGTGTGGAGTTTGCTAGTTGCTTGCTGGGTTTTTCATGTTGAGTGTGCTTTTCGTTTCCACTAGATTCTTCCTTTGAATCTGAATGGTTATTTTAGACAGCCATTGGTTCCCAGGTTTTTGTTTCGGGTTTGGCTTCAAATTCTTCAAACATTTTAAACACAACCCTAGCTACATATTATTTTAGCATTTTAGATCCTCAGAGAAACTAATTCTGCTACTGATTGTTTCTGGTGCCTCTCACTCACGGTGGCTTGTTTCCTTGTGTGTTTTGTACTTTTATCTGTAACTCACACTGGAACAATCCCAAAGGGACCGTGGGATGAGGACCCCTTTCTGAAGGGATGAGCCCTTCAGAAAGGACTCTGTTGATTTTGGCCAGGTTCCCTGAGTGCTACCACCCTGACACTGAAAACAAAACAAAAACAAACAAAAAAGAAAAATCCCTATTCTACTTTATGGATTCTAGGCCCTCAAAGGAAATGTGAATTTAAAAAACAAGCTCTTTCAGGAAAATCAACTGATGTTTGCCATTTTTTGGGAACTATTCTCTCCACTGGCAGATTCTTTCCAGTCAAGCCTCCTCCTATTCACTGAGGCTGGACCCCCCAGGGGCTGCTGTTTAAGTGGAGCGGAAGGAGGCTGAGTTTTGAGTCTTCACACAGTGCAAGCCCACATCCTCACCTCCCTGCCTTGAGTGACTGGAGGAGGTTTCTGAGTCTGAAAGGTCTCAGACTTCAATGGCTACAGCTTGTTTCCAGTCACACTCCAGCTCCTACCACTGGAGAAGACCTGTGGCTGTCAAGGAGCTCAGGAGAGCATCTTAGAGGATGCCTGATGTGACCCACCCAGGCCCAGGTAATTGTTCTGGGAAGGCAGGCTATTGGAAACACTAACCCTCTAACCCAGCCCTGTCTTGATAGCCACAGATTCCTTTTGAACGCACAGGTCTGGCCATGTAACTTCAAATCCATCATGGCTTCTCATGTCTCTGACAGAAGAGACCCATTTCCTTTACTTGGTCATAAATGGCCCCACCCAAAGTGGGCTGGCCTCTTCTCCTGAGGCTTGACATGTCTGCCTTCCTTTGTGTTCCGGGAACAGCCTAGCAACCAGCGTCCAACCCATTCATCTCTGCAAGCATAGTACCACGAGTACTCAATGGCATTCCTAATGTGTAGTCTCAACGTGCCCAGTGACATGGCGTTATACACACTGCAGATGAGGAAACGGAGACACAGAGGTGAAGTGACTTGGCCAAGACCACAGAGCCAAGGGCTGGGTTCTGATCTGGGTTTCTGCCTAAGTTGGTATCCATTGCTTAACCTCAAGGGATCAGATCGCTCATATCCATCAAGTGTAGGGGAAAAGCCTGCCTCTCATTCTTGCCGATACCCTACCTACCCCTCACCCTATCCCAAGGAGAAATGAGAAAGGCACACAGCCTGATTGCTCCCCTGGGGCCCGAGCACCTCTTTGGCTTAGCTAAAGTGAGGTAGGTACACAGCGACCCTCCTCCCCCTTCTGCTACTGACAGCCCTGAACCCATTTTTTTTCTGTCATCCCTCCCACCACACTAAACTCTCTCTTAGTTGATGCTCAGTCTGGGTTCTGGGAACCCAGTCTGGAACCTTATCCTCGAGGAGCTCAGTCTTCTGAAGGTTCCCGAGCAGGCAGAGCAGTGACAGCCGCGGTTAACAGGGCTGTGACCGGTAAAATCATTGGGACTGAAGAGCCCCTAACTTAGCCTGGGCACAGGAAGATATCTCAGTCAGATGGCACTGAACCGAACCCACGGCACGGACCATAAAGGGAACGGAGCATCTAAAAGGCTGGCAGTACCACAAGATGGTTCCATGGCTGGACAGGCTGAAGCAGGTTCCAGAAAGTCTGCTAGATGGAGAGAGGAGGCAAGGCCTGGCCAGAGAGTCCAGGAAGACTGGGGACATCGGCCCTATGGGATTAATAGCATTGACAGTCACTCCCTCCACCGAGAGATCGTCACTCAAGCTTTATCTAAATTGGCTGTGGTATTATTTTGCTCCCAGCTGAGCTCTTATCTACACTTGACAGATAAGAGTGAAGGCACTGCAGTGTGGCCACTCCTCCCAGGGGTTTTCTGCAGGAGCAGAGACAGCACAGCAGCTTTCCTCTGCCCTGGCTGTGATGGAGACCCCAAGTCTCCACAGGCTGTTCCCTTGTCATCCAGGCCTTTCTGTTCCAAGGTACCCTGTTCTGCCTAACTTATGCCCTGTGACTGATGGTGGCCTTCAGGACGTTAAGGTGTGGGTAAAGGATGGGGATGGGCAGGATGGATGGAACACGGATGGAGGCCTACATCAGGGTCTTAGGCATAGAGGTAAAGGACTATTTAGACACTTACACACTCACGGCCATATACATGTACAACAGGAGGCCTCAGTGAGAAGCAAGTTGGGAGGGAGGGGAGGAGGGGTTGCCAGGCTACTCCCCTTTCCTTCCCATCTCCCTGTGTCATGGGCTTGATCTAATGCCTTGTCTCAGGGGCAGGACTGGTGACAAGGTGACTGGGAGCCCCTCAGATCAAGTTAACTCCTGACCCTAACCTCAGCCAGGAGACTAGTCACTCGGGGAGCGGACTGGAGCTGGCTCTGGATTGTAATCTCTGCTCTGCCCTTTGGCAGTATGGGACTCTAGTTCGAAGAATACAGTGTGTATCTATGAGGAGTTGTGGCTTCTGAATCAACCTTTCTAAGTTTCAGATACGGTCGAGAGGTTTCATCCAAAGCCCCACGCTCCTGAGGCCCTTAGTTACGCACACTCAGTACTACATGGCATAGCCTCTTAGTTTTGAAAGCAGACAGCATTGGTCAGACTGTGGCTCGGCAGTTACTTGATCATTTGGTAAAGGCTTTGTGTTTTTGTCTCTTGAGACTGGTCTAGGTCTCTTATATCTGAGGCTGGCCTGGAACTCACCATGTAGCAAGGATGAGCTTGAGCTTTTGATCTGCCCCCACCTCCCAAGTGCTAGGATTGCAGGTGTGTTCCACCATGCCCAGCTTTATTTGATGCTAGGGAACCAAGCCCAGGGCTCAGTGCATGCTAGACAAGTGCTCTACCAACTGAGCTCCACCCCAGCCAGGAGAAAGTTCTTCAACCTTATAAGCCTCTATTTCCTTGTCAATACAATGGGCTTAATGATACCTATGCCCCAGGGTTGGGAAGAAAGACAGAGGTGGGAAGTACTCATGAATATTACTGGTTGTTCTTTTTTGTTGTTGTTGGTTTGCTTTTGTTTTTTGAAACAGAGTTTCTTTGTGTAACAGCTCTGGCAGTCCTGGAACTCACTCTGTAGACCAGGCTGGCCTTGGACTTACAGAGATCCTCCTGCCTAAAGGGCTGTGTGCCATCACCATCCCCCCCCCCCATTCTTTTCTCTCATCAAGTAGGACTGATTTGGTAACAGAACAAGCCAGGTGTGGTGACACACTCCTATAGTCCCTGCACTCAGGAAGGCTGGAGTAGAAGGATCTGGAGTCTAAGGCCAGGCAAAGACTATGTAGTGAGATCCTGTCAGAAGGAAACAAAGAGAGGTAGGGAAGAGGAAGAAGAGAGGGAGGGGAAGGCTTGAGTGTGCACCAGGTGCACGCCAGTAACCCACGAGGGCCACAGAGGCACACTCCTTACGTGCAAAAGACAGCTGACAGGGATATGCTGTGTTTGAGTAGCAGGACACAGGGAACCACCTCAATGTCTAGCAAGGGTGAGTAAACAAATGGAGTCTTTACACAGGGTGACTAAGGAGATGTCAGGGTGAGGGGACCATCATGTGGGACCAAGGAGGCAAACCTCACAAACCCAAATTTTAGAGAAGGAAACCACAGAAGGGTGTGTGCTGCGTGGTTCCATTTACAGAATACCAGAAAATAAGCACAAACCATTCCCTGTCCCCAAACTGGATTTTTTTAGATTTTCCTATCCTTAGCAGGAGAATAAAAACCCAAGATTCAGGCTGGTAATTCTCTCTGGAGAGGGAAGGCAGGAGGCAATCTCTAGGAGGACTTTGCAACCCCAACAAGACTTTTCTCTCTTAAATAGAGAATAAAGTATGTTGGCACGGGGTTAATATCTAGCAACACAGGATGGCAAGAACATGGAAGTCCATTATATTATTTACCATAGGAGCTGGAGAGATGGCTTAGTGGTTAGTGTATGCTGCTCTCACAGAGGACCCACATCAGTGGCTCATAACTGCCTGTAGCTCCAGCTACAGGGCACCTGCTGCCTTCTTCTGGACTCCCCCCCCCTCTATATATATATATATATATATATAATTAAATAATTTATCATATCTTATGAAGCCTTAAAAACAGTTCATAACTTTTTAGTTGGAAATGGGAGGTATATGCCTGTAGTCCCACCTTGTGGGAGGGAGAGATGGAAACATCAGGAATTCAGGGTCATCCTCAGCCTGCACAGAGAATGCCAGGGTAGCTTGAACTACACGAGACCCTGTCTCAACCCACCATATCCCCACTTCCAGGAAATTACTGTTCTATGGTAGAAATCTGAGGCTTGACCATTTTTCCCAGAGTTAGACCTAGACAAGATCTGAGTGTTTGCTCAGTGACTAAGTAAGAGTCTATGATAGAGGTGGGACATGCTTCTACTTCAGCCCTCCTCTCCTCACACCCGCCAGGATAACACTTACTGGGGCAGAGGAATGGACAGATGAACCTGTATAGCCACTAAGGGTGGGCCCTCACAGGCATACAAGACACCCGTTCTGTTTGTGCTAGAGATTTGTGCTTGCTGGAAGGTTAGTGAGCATTGGAGGAGCCCGGGTCATTTCAGGGACTGAAGCACAGATGTAGGTGTGTGAACAAGGGGGGGGCGGGGTGGCTCTCAGACAAGAAATCTGGGATTTGTGGATGGGAGCCTTGCTCTGTCTACCTTCTGAAAAACCTCTGTTCTAGTCCTGGAGGATGGTGCTGGACAGGGCTGCTCAGAAAACTACCAGGCTGAGCTCCAGATGTGAGGCTTTCAACCCTCAGCAGGGAGGGCACAGCTAGCCCAGCCTCTTCGTGTTTTCCAAAGGAGGGACCAGAAGTCAGGGAGGTGAAAGCCTTGACCAAAGTTATACAATAGAAAATGATTAAGGGAAAACTTCATGGGTAGCTCTCCTCCAGGCCTCCGTGTCCCTGAGCACTGAACTTCCAAGTCCTGGGGAGGCTTCCAGCTGGCTGGTAGCACCAGGCCCCTCTCCTCCCTGTTCACCTGTCAGGTCTCAGGCCCTTGGCAAATATTGTCCCTGTTCTGATCTCCAGGTAGGGCAGGCACCCCTCCCAGATCACCTGAGCAGGATCTGCCCAGCAACCTCCCAGCAACCAGGGAGACCAGCAACTAGCCTCAAGCACTGAGACCGAGGAACAGCAGAGCTGCTGATTGTCTCCAGACAGCAACTGGCAGTGCCTGGGGACAAGGCAGGGGGTGGGACAGTGACTTCTGCGGGGTGGGGGTGGGGGTGGCCAAGACAGCCATGTTGATAGTGACAATACTCACCTTGACAGCCAAGGTTCCTGCTACACCCAATACCCCGGGCCTGAGCACACTTAGAGCCCTTCAAACACCCTAAAGAACTCTTAAGGGGGATGCCACCAGACAGAATTGTGTTCAAATCTCACTCCCCACTCTCACCTCCTGGATAATCGAAGATAAGTTATTTAAGAACTATGCCTCAGTTTCCTCGTCTGTAAAGAGGGTTGATTGTAACAAGGCCCACCCCACGGATGCACACTCCACAAGGAAGGAGAGAGAGTTGGGACCCAGAGGGATAGTGACTGAGCTAGGGTCCCCGGGAGGCAGCCGGGCGCGGGCTGCCCAGCAGCTGGAGCCGCAGTGCGGTCCTGGGGCTCCTCCTGGGAGGCCCCGCCGCATCCACCCCGCATGGCCCGCGCCCCGAGGCTGCCTCGGCCACTCACCCCACGGGCAGGGCGCCCGGGCCACCGGCCGTGGTCATCGCTGCGCGCGCCTGACGCCAGGCGCGGCCCAGGTGCTGCGGCCGGATCCCCGCGACGCGGCGGCCGGGGAGGGGCGCGCCGGGGGGGCGGGGAAGGCGGCGTGGCCGGGCCGGTCTCGGGCTGCCCACCCGCGCAGTGGGACCATGGCCGCGCCCGCGCGGCTCAGCGCCCGCCCCTCCCTTCCCTCCCCGGCGCTGGCCAGGTGAGACCCCCGCGCTCAAGGTCGGCGCGGCCGGGGCCTCAGAGCCTTGGCGCTGACATCTACCGCAGCTGCGGACACCTCCACCCTTGGGACCCGGAAACTCTCCGCCTTCCCTAGGCCACCGCTGCCGGCACGCCGCGCCCCGCACCTGAGCTCTCGCGGTCCAGCCGCTTTGCTGGACTATGAGTAGAGAGAGCCTAGCCTCTGCAGTCAGGCGTGGACATTCATTCATTCTAACCACTTGTCCAACGGGGGGCGGGGTGGGGGTGTTTTGCAAAAGAAAAGAAGGCAGGAAATCACACAGGTTAGTGCTCACCACTAGCAGGCAGCTCACGTTGGCCCTCTCAAACAATCCCTACAATTGCCATTGTCCAGATGTGGAAACTGGGGCAGTTGAGTCCTTGTGACCCGTGTTGAGCCACTCCAGTAAGTGGCATGTAGGAACTGCAACCCAGCTCTGCTAACTCCAAAGCTCATACTCAGTCCCTCCTCCTTTTGGTCTCTTAGAGTGAGGGGTCAGTCCCCAGATGTCCACTATGCACCTAGACATAAGGTGGGTTTACAGAAGCCTACATGCTCTCCTAGCAGATAGCCCTGGCCCATTAAGAGTTAATGGGCCACCATCTCTGGGCCCCAGATGCTCTTAACTGTGACTCATCATAACACGTGGCTGCCATTAGATTAGAGCTGTCCTTTTACAAAGGCTAGGGACAGGAGGAGGGATTCCAACTGCCCCGGATTGGCCCTGAGCTCCAGGATGTCACAAGAGGAAGCAAGAGGAGGCAGCCTTCAGATGCAGCCATGGTGGGAAGGACTTGGACCAGATCCCAGAGGAACCAAGCAGGTTCAAAGTAGGAGCAGGGAGGATTGCTGCTCACATCAAAATAGGCTGCCTGGAAAGGCTGTGAGTTTTGTTTTGAATTATTTATTTTATGTGCATTGCTGTTTTGCCTGCATGTGTAATCTGTATGAAGGTACAGGGAACTCCTGCAGCTGGATCTACAGACAGTTGTGAGCCACCATGTGGTTGCTAGGAATTGAACCCAGGTCCTCTGGAAGAGCAGCCAGTGCTCTTAACTGCCGAGTCATCTCCCAGGCTGTGAGTTCTTACACTGGCCTGTGTGAGCAGAGGCCAGAAGCTGCTATGTGAAAATCAACCCATCTCTGGTAGCCTCACATATGGGCTTGAAAATATAGTTAACTGTGAGAAGCGGATCATCATAATAACATCATCTACCGGCAACTGATGAGGATGAGTATGTGTGTCTGGGGCAGATGGGAAACAGAGCTGAGCCTTGACAAGTGCATTATTAATGAAGTAGGGGGCAGGTGTGCTGGATGAAGGCCCGGTATAGCCAAAGGCATGGGCATGAGTGAGGGTACGGTGAGCTGACGATAGCTGGAGTTTGTGGTTCTGGAGAGACTAGAGAGAGTTTAGAAACATGTCCCAGATGATGAGGCTGAATCCCTGCCACATGCCCTGAACAGCCATGTCCCCAGGCACTGGCACATACTGTTCCTTTTTGCCTAGAACACACACTCCTTCCTAATAACACAATTATCCGTGTAACCAGGGATGGAGCCTGAAGCTTCTCATTGAGAGGTATTTTCTCAAATGAAAAGACAGAGCTAGTCAGGATACTGTACACTGTGGGTAGAGGCTGGAGGCTCAGGAGTTCAAGGTCACTTAAAGGACTACTTAAGGGCTTCCAGGCCAGCCAAGTTATACAAGACAGAGACACACAGAGAACCAGGCGCGCGCGCACACGCACACACACACACACACACACACACACACACACACACGCATGCACGCACGCACGCACGCACACGCACAGAGAGAAAGCAAGGAGCTGAGTCCTGATGCTTTAGTTTCCATCAGTCCTGTTGAGTCTGTTTCGCCAGTTTTTTCTTTTCTTTTTTTCTTTTTTAAGAACTTGTATCAGTTTGGATGCCACCTCTCCCAGGAAGTCCCAGGCTGGGTCCTGGACCCTCATCTCTTACCTCCTTTGACCAGAACCCCTCTCAGGGACACTGTGTGTGAGGTAGGGGAAGGATCGGGAAGAGAGGTCTGTGTGTGACTGTGGTGGACATCCCTCGGGGTGTGGCCTGGTCAGTTTGTCACTGTGTCTGTGTGTTTGTGGGTGCCTGGCTATGAACACTGTGTTTGGGGGTAAAAGCTCCCTCTGAGGGGATTGACTTAGCAATGGCTGACTCATGTCAAAGTCTTCTCATAAGCTGTATGTGGCGGTAAGGGCACAAGGTTAATCTTACTTCATTTTCACTTTTAACTACTCTGTGAACCTCAGAGGTAAAACGGAAATAATGCTATCTACTTCACTGTGAGCAGTAAGAATTTTTGTATATATAGACGAAAAGGGCCTAGCATGCAGTACAGCAGTGATGTGGATAGATTCTGGATTCTGCTCTTCTCCCCAGATGAAAACTGAGTCGAGCAACAGAGTCAGCAACAGAGTCAGAATTCTTCCCCCATTACCACAGTGGTCCTGAGGCTGGAGCCAGGCACCCAAAGAGCCAGTCAGAATCCCAATCCGGCCAGCCATCAGCAGGGTGCCTTCAGGCCATTCCTGATCCTCAAGAGTTCCGGTCTAGTCTCCTGCTCATCATTGCTCAGCCTAGATCACCTGCTCAGCCCCACGTTGAGCCAACAATGGAGCCCTGAGGACTTAAGAGATCGTCCCAAGGCCCAGTTCCCTTCCTCGCTGACAGGACACCTGTTTCCTGACCTGTCTTTGCTGTTGTTGTTTGTTTTTCAAGACAGGGTTTCTCTGTGTAGCTCTAGTTGTCCTGGACATTGCCACTCTGTAGGCCAAGCTGGCCTTGAACTCAGAGATCTGCCTGCCTCTGCCTCCTCAGTGCTGGAATTGGAGGTGTACACCACCACTGCCTAACCTTTTGCATTGTAAATATTATACATATACTTTGTGTGTACACGTACACACATACACTTGTGTGGAGGTCAGAGGACAACTTGCAGGAGTTGGTTCTCTCCTTCCACCACAGGGCAGAGATGCTTGACCTGTAGGCTCCCATATGGAGTTACATAACTGAATGTGAGGGTTGCAAAATTATTGGCACCAATAAAAGGTTTCTGAATGCATAGCAACCAAAAATTAATTCAAAATCAAATCTGTCATGAATCCAAGGCATTTCTGGCAGTGTTTGGCCATGTAGTACCACGTGATTTCACTGCAGCCCTGACTGTGAACACTCTCAGACACCTTGTGCTGGCATGTCATGTGACACGGTGTTCTTGCAGTGAATCATGAAAAACAAGGGTGTGTGTGTGTGTGTGTGCTACATCCATGTGAGTGTGGAGACTAGAGGATGCCTGGTGTCTTCAGCTGTCACTTTCCACCTTACAGCTTTGAGACGTGGTCCCTCATCTAAGCTCCTGGGATCGACACTGGGGTTACCTTGCCTGGCTTGTTACATGACTGTTAGGGACTCAAATTCAGGTCCTCCAGCTTGCACAGCAAGCACATGTATTCACTGAGCCATCTACAGAGCTCCCCAAATAAAGACTTTAGTTTTCCACCATCATTTCTAGTGTCAAGCTAATATATCTTTGGGTTGGGTTGTATTAGAATGCATAGTTTCAAAAACTGTGGCTTAATGCTGGTGTGAGTGTGTGTATGTGTGGGGAGGGGAGGGGTTGACTCAGACCTGTAACCCCAGGGCTTGGAAGGCAAAATAAGAGGAGAATGCCCAAGTGTGAGGCAGTTCTGACCTACACAGTGAATTCTAGTCAGACTAGACTATACAGGTAAGACCTTGTCTTAAAAACAACAAAACCAAACCAAACAAACAAAGCAGGCATTGTAGCACATGCCTTTAACCCCAGAATTTGGGAGGCAGAAGCAGGTAGATCTCTGTCAGTTTGAGACTAACCGGGTCTAAATAGATAGATCCAAGCTAGCTAAGGCTACCCAGAGAAACTCTGTTTCAAAATAAATAAATATAAAAATATTTTAAAATTCTGTTTGCTTATTAACTTGAATATCATTTTTTAAAAGTTAAATGAAGCCAGGTATGGTGGCTCACACCTTTAAATCCCAGCACTTGGGAGGCAGAGGAAAGCGAATCTTTGAATTCCAGGCCAGCCTGGTCTACAAAGCAAGTTCTAGGACAGCCAGGGAAACAGAGAAACAACCAGTTACACAGAGAAACCCTGTTTTGGAAAAATAAAAAAAAAATCAAAAACCAAAGTTAAATGAGGGGCTGCAGAGGTGGCTTGGTGGTCAAGAGGACTGGCTGCTTTCCCGAGGACCTGGGTTCAAGTCCCAGCACCTTCACAATAGTTTATAATTGTAACTCTAGTCTTGGGGATCTAAGAACCTCTTCTAGCCCCCACATCTACATGCAAAACAGTCACACACATATAATAAGTAAGTAGAAAACACATAAACACATTCATCTTATTGGTGTGCGAATTTGCTTTCACCTTTAATAAATGCTAAAATTATGTGTGTGCCAAAGAACTGTTCTAAAATAAATGTCCTTATGATTTATTATCAGTAAAGGTCTGCTTTGCATAGCTATTTTATACACCCATATACCTGGGGTCAAGAGGGGCAGCTGCAAGTGGAGCCCAGTGCACAGAGGAGAAGGGGCTCAGCTGGGTATTTGAAGTGTGGTAACAGAAATGGAGTATGCAAGGGTATGACAAGTGACACCCTTTCCACAGGAAGTGCTTAAGCTAAAGGGTCAGCTGTGCCTCTATCCCAGTGAACCTCTCTCTTATCCATAAACCTGGAACAGTACCCCGATGGCCCTCCCCCCACAGCTGCCTCCCCCAGCCCCGCCCTGGCATGCAGCACCCTGCCCCCCCCCCCCCATTTTTCAGGCTCTGCCATTCCAGATCTGGCCTTGTCTCTGGCGTTTTCCT